TATCAAATCACAAAACAGCAAAAGAAAATGAATAAGACTGCAAGAGCTACTCAACAGCAGATTGATAAGAAACTTAGAGATGAAAAAAAAAAACTTAGAAGTAAAAAGAAAAGAAAGAATGAGCTACTCTACAGCTATAATTATGATTAAATAAAAAAATAATTGAAAAATTTAAAAATTACTTTTCTAATCAGAAAAATAGACTTTTGATTTTGCAAAGAATGACTAAATCATATTTTCAGAGCCCTGTCAGAGTGCTTACAGATTCACTGTCAGAGAGATATGATGATATTTTAATCTCTACTGATATAATGACTACTTGCTCACTGAATCTATCTTCATTTAAGATTTCATGTTTCAGATAAGATATTAAGTCAAATAAATATTTACTGAATTAGTTATATATTTTTATATATAATTTCTATATATATTTTCATCTTATAATATATCATCTTAAAATCTAATTGTGTTGTTAAAATAATATTGAAAATATTTTATTATAGTGATGGTGAAATGGTAGGTGTTGGGAGTAAATAGGCATTGGGTGGTGGATTATGTTAAACTACAAGTAAGTGAGACAACTTTTTTTCCCTTCTAATTGAAAATTCCCTGCTCTTTAACGCGTAATTATGCTACTAATTCAAAAGAAAGATTCTTCAAATTCTATTGAGAGAGAGAGAAAGCTTGAACTAGCAATATCTGCTTTTAAAAAGAAAAAAAAAGGTTTTATTCATGAGATTGCATGTCTTTTACAATGTGCACTCTCTACTCTAGCTTACAGACTTAATGGCTGGCCTTTATGACTGAATTTATATACAAATTCACATAAATTATCCTTTTATAAAAAGAAAAGACTAACTGCTTCAATGAGTGCTGGATCTGGCTAAATGAGAAATCCCTCCTCAACTGGCATTCGTGAAAATAATGGTCAACCATATTCTAACCTCCCATTCTCCACCTTTCAAAACCCCTTGTGTGGGAAAGAATTGGGTGTCAAATCTAGTGACATGTTGTCTGGAGCTTTCAATGCTGTTATTCTCATCATTGTAATCATGGCCAGGCTAAATGTAAGGATATGAAAGTTATTTAGACTTGGTTTAAGACTTTGAGGGATATAGTTGTTGAGCATGAAATTCAGACTGAAGATATCTACAACTTTGATGAGACTGGATTTGCAATAAGATTCTGTGCAACTATCAAGGTCATTATTAGTGCTGAGTGCTATAACCAGGCAAAGCTGTTACAACCTGGAAATAAAAAATGAGTAACTGTTATTAAGTCAGTCAACGCATCAGGTTGAGCCTTAAGTTACCCCCATACTTAATTCTTAAGGATCAGACTCTACAGGAAGGCTGGTTTGATGAGCTGTCAAATGACTGGAGACTAGATGTTAGTCCTAATGACTGGATTACAGATGAAATTGAGCTTCAATGACTTATATGATTTTTTAACCCTATTACCAATCCTACGAGGATTGGCACTCATCTACTTCTTATTCTGGGATAGGCATGGCAGTCATCTTACCTCAGAATTTGATCAGACCTGTGAGGATATCAAGGTTATCCCTCTATGCATGTCAGCATATTCATCACATCCCTTGCAGCTGCTAGATGTGAGTGCTTTTCACAGTTTCAAAGTGGGCATATGAAGGTCTAGTTGAACAGTGAATGCATCTTAAATTCAATACTATTAAGAAGCATGACTTCTTAGATGCTATCGTAAGACCTGTACAGAGATCTTTAAACCTCAAAATATTCAAAATGACTTTCTAGCTACTGGAATAGTTTCATATGAACCAGGTCAGGTTATTCAGCAGCTAAATATTTCACTTCAAACATCTTCCCCTCCAGCTAGTCAACCCAGCAACTCTCAGTCATCCTGGATCCTACAATCACCTAGAAACCCCTGTCAATTATACAAGCAGGTGGACAAGATCAAGGAGCTTATGGTGCAAGGCCTTGATGCCTCTTAAGTCTTAATGAAAGGATTTGATCAGATTATTAAAGCTTGTGAATATGAGATGATCAGCACCACTATTATGAGGAAGCAATATTAGGATATATTCAATGCCAATGAGTTAGAGAAGCAAAAATGGAAGAGATCTACACATCAGATTCAACATCAAGGAGGCCTAACTAGGGAGAAAGCTCAAGGTCTCATTATTCAATCTGCAGCACCTGTTGAACAGCCAGTTATTCCCACCGCGGAGGCCCTGATCCCAGAGTCTATGCCACAATTACAGGCTCCACCACACTGCACAAAATGTCATACTGTAGAGCATACTAGAAGAAGTTGCCATAATCCTATTTCTAATTAACTTTATATAGTTATTTGTTGGAAGTAGATAACTTGGGTTAAATCGAGAGATTCAATTTAGTGTCTCGCTCACTTGTGGATCATGTTAAACTGAAGGCTTTCGTAAACATCCCCATGTTAGGCTGGGAGGATAAGCCTGCTGCAGGACGCAGCATAGTTAGCTACCCTCAGACGTCCGCTGGCTCAACTAATAAATACCCGTAAAAGGCCCACAGTCTCAAAGATTGATCCTTTCGCATCAAGAATAATGCTTAAATTCTCATACTACTCCAGGATCCGGCAGAGTAATAATAATACATGCATGATACTTCTTACAAGACGCGGATATGCAGTTACTCGTTCGGTTCGGCGTTGACCGAATATCCAAGTCGTCCGTACAGAGCTGGGATGATGGAAAAGTTCGTTCAGTGTTAAAAGGTTGACTGGATTCCCTGCCTAGAGATTGCGACCTCTCACTGGGATGGCCAGACGTACTTTTATATCATCATAAAGGACAACGTCCTCTATTTGTTCATTCTCCATTATAGGCTCGTTGTTAAATTTAGATGTTTCAGCTTGATGTTTTTCCCCTGGATGAAGGTATGAGGTCTTCCAAATAATACAGCCAACTAAATGCTCATCACAGGGTTAGGTGATGGATGATTTATAATAGAGCTGGTGGAAACTACCAAATAGTTGGTAAGGGAAATGACCCAGTTCAAGCCCACAGTCAAAAATCCAACGAGGTCGGTGCCAAATTATTCGTCCCATAGACACAAGGAAAACGTGTGACATGTCGCTATGTACGAAGTACCATGTCGTAGTTGAGCCAATTCAGCACAGGAGAGGATAATTTACTGTTTACGGAGAGTTACATAGTCGGCCGTATGCCGTATGGCGTACCATAGGGAGTTATGTATGCGCATTCCTCGGATTTGGGGGGGAAAGAAGTGATCGAGACAAATGATAAGGAAGACGACATAATAGAGAAGCGCTGCAACGGGCGATATTTCGATCACCATAATTCTCAGGATTTTCCGTTCCAATCGACCGTCTCACAAAACAGCAGATTAGGGATCTTCCATAATCCTCTAAGTCGGAAAAGGACTCTCCACTGACCCCTTTTGTCCCTCTTCTGTGGGGTTCTTTTAATTTTCGATGTCGTTGTACGACCAAACATGGTGAGAATCTTTTCCTGCCATCCTCTTGCAGGTAGAGTTCTTTGCGCCTCTATTAATGCCTCCAGTCGATTCTACTTCCGATGTTCTGGTCATTATCGCCAGAATTTGTGGATGCAGCCCTTGTCCCAGGGCTCCTCCCCACGGAACATGGTCGTGGATGATGTCAGTTTCCAACCTCGCTGGCAATCGTTGTTTTCTATCAACTTGTTAGTTTCAGTGAACATAGCAAGGCTAACATTCCTTACAAAGATGGTTCGCTGTTCCAGGGTCTAGAGACGTGTTCGATATAAGGAACGAGGACGGGCAGTTCTTGGATTAGAGGAAATATACTGTGATTGGATAGTCATATATGGTTTGTTCAAATGATCGGGATTGAAATCAGACTCAAGGGAGCTCCCATATTTATAACTAAGGCTCACGGCTATCACAGTTGTTGCCCTGGCTTCCTTCTGGTATGGCTGAGTTCCGGCAGGCTCTAAATGAGACCGTTGTTATTTCGTGACATCCAATCAGTTAACTAACGCGCTGTATTCCTGGGCTTCGCAGGGAACAAGCAAGCCAGAAACAAGCTGGGATATTTCACCATGCTATTGTTGGAATAGTCTGTTTAATGAATCCAGCATTTTGCGACTTAAATGGACAGCTGTTTCTAACTCAGTTGAGAATAATTATTTGGATAGGTGTTCCCCTTAAATCTGGCCCTTACTGTATTGATGCCTGAGAAAAAATACCATTTTTGGATGTCATTGTTTGGGACTTATTGAGAGATTAGATTAGGTACATAGTTACCTATCATATCACTCAATCTGTTGTTGACTAGTTAATGTGGACTTCATGAAAATTTCTCATCTCTTGTTGATACTTGGATCACAACAAAACATAGATCCACAGTCCCTCACATATCATAAGTATCTTTCTCGGAAAATTGATAAATTGTCTAACATCAATACGTATCATAAAATATCACTCACTTATTAATATATTGTACCGTATATGGAGAAAGGAAACAAGACCAAGTGTGTGACTTACATGGACCCTGGTCGCAAGATATCGCTGACTTCCCTTCGCCAATTCACTCCCAGCCATCGATTATTTTTGAAGGACTGGACATCATCAACATAAAGTGAATCGCCAGGAACGGAAGAGCTGACATCCTCAGAGTAATAATGACTTCCATATTGAGAAAATTACACAGCTGTCCAGTTTATTTTCTGGTAGTTGAGAACTTTCTGAACCAACTCGATCTCTAAAGTCAAGGGAACGTCAGACTCTAGCCAGAGGAATGCCAGTCAGCTTTTCCATGAAGATATAATCTGCCCCGAGAGGTTTGCCGTCAAACCTGGAATTTCATGTGTAGACCTCGGAAACAGGGGTTTGAAATATCTTTCGCATGTGAGCGCGGTGTTGTTGAATAGTCAGCTGTAAAATTTATAAAGTCCATGGTCGCAACCTCTGGCAGACGTAAATTGCGGTATGCCAGCATTTTAAGCAACCTCTTTACCGTTGTTCATGGTGAAGATGTTACTACACCTTGTTAAAGAGGCCGTCAGGGCATTTTTCTACCTTCACGCATTGCGTTGCTCCAACTGCTTTTGCAGCTATCTCCGCAAACACGTTTAAGTCGTATTGCACATGACGGAGTTTCTTTTGCTCTTCCTCGTCATAGACGAAGCGTCCTCGACTAAAGAGGAAGAATTCCTCTCGCCTATTCCAATCTACCTTTCCTCAGCATTTCCCAGGCATGTACATGTACTGCGTCACTCACCTTCGGCCACATCGCTCTCCAAAATTGAGGTAAGGAGCTCGCGAAAACCTATCAAGTGAGAACGCTCTTTGATGCAAAAGGCACGATATTTTGAAATGGAACACTCGTTTAGGGATGGTCTGGCCGTCACGCGTGGCGAAGTCGGTTGATTCAAAATGCAATATCGAGCCAGGCAAAAGCGGCGCCTCACATCCAAGGGTGAGTCGACTTCGGGAGGCTAAGCAGCTTGGAAGATCAAAATTGTCACAAACGGACAGCATATGTCGCGGAGTTGTTGAGCGAACTGACCTCGAAGTCCGGGATCTCCTCTTCTGGCGAGGTGCAATTGGCGTTCTTCTTCTAACCACCAGAAAAAGTACGCTCATATTGTGCTTCGCCTCCAGATGAAGAGATAGGAGGGTAGGATTTCCAGCGTGCTTGATCAAGCAATCCCTGCTAAATTATATACCGTATGTACGCTGCGTATAGTCGGCATAATTAACGTAATCCACCACCCAACGCCCGCCATTTCGCCATCACAATGATGAAATATTTTCAACGTTATTTCAACAACGCAATTAGATTTCAAGATGATATATTATATGATGAAAATATATATAGAAAATTACATATAAAAATATATAGCTAATTCTGTATTGTTTGACTTAATGACTTGCTCAGAATGTGAAATCCTGAGTGAAGACAGATTCAGTGAGCAAGCAGTCATTAAATCAGTAGAGATTGCAATATTGCCAGATCACTCAGGCAGTGGATTCACAGGCACTCTGACAGGGCTCTGAAAATGCAATTTAGTCACTCTTTGTGAAATCAAGAGTCTACTTTCCTGATTAGAAAGGTGATTTTTGAATTCTTTAATCATCTTCTTATTCAATTGTGATTGTAGCTGTACAGCAGCTTGTTCTTCCTTTTTTTTTTACTTCTGAGCCTTTTTCTCATCTCTAAGCTCCTTGTCAATCTGCTGTTGAGCAGCTCTTGTGATCTTATTCATTTTCTTTTGCTGTTTTGTGATCTGATGAGCTGTCTCCTGCTTCATCCTCTGCTGAATAATATCTACCTTCTTCTGTTTCTTAAGAATAATGCATTGCAGCTTTGCATCCTTATTATAAGTTTGCTCATTTTTTTTGACAATCTCTAAGACTGTTAAATTCTTGTGAATGCTCTGCATCTTTGTCAGTAAGAAGAACTGCATTAATGATGAATTCAAGAAATCTAGCAATCTTATTGCCCTGTCACATTTGCAATATCTTCTCTCTTGATTAAGAGCTTGTTGTAGTTGTCTATTCTCTATTTTAAGAATCTCTTTATCAAGAACAAGATTTTCTCCTGCACAGATCACTCAGTTGAGATCATTATATATTTGATACTGCTGTTGCTTGACTTGCTTTATCAATTTTTACAAACCAACAATAGAAGTAGATATTCTTGATTGATATATTGCATCTGAGAGAGTGCAAGATCATATTTGAAGCTTTTTAAGAACACATTTTGAATTAAATGAATGTAGATCAGTAGCAGCAAATGCAGCTTCAATATTTGAAGATATAACTATTTTCTTTCACACAGTGTCAAAAAGCTGTCAAAAAGACCTGTTTGTAGTATGTATAAATTCTATTTTAGTTCTTATTCATTTATTCAGTTGTTTAAAATATGATTTACTCAATGATTCAAATATTTCAACATCTAGCCACTGTAATCAGTGTGTAGAATGAGAAGAAAAAACAGTGAGTGGAATTCAATTCTGATCTGTATAATTGATGAATATCATATTAACATGAAATGAGTGATCATTCAATATAAGAAGTCTATATTCACAGTCTGTCTTCTTTTTTATAAGAGGTTCAAAGATCTTCTTTAATCACATTAACTTATATTCATCATTGCTTCATTTATTTTCTAAAGTAGTGAAGTAGATCTGATTCTTTTCATTATCAAAATCTTTAAGTCAAGTATCTTGCATATCTCTTGATTTCTCTTGATATATGAGAGCAGGTGAAAGTGAAGTTCTATCTGTACAAATTGAAATAAATAGTATTATGAATTCTCAACTATCATTCTGGCTGACATGTATTATATGATCTGATTTAAGTGAATTAATCAATACAATATATTTGAGAATGTGAATGAATTCTAATAAAAATTCTTTCTCATCAAAGTTGTAGATATTCACAGATTCAAAATTACATTTCATAATTTTTATCTGCAGCTGAAAAATTAAGATAAATTAGCAAGATGAGAATTAAAAAAGTAATATAAGAAAGAAATCTATTACAAAATTAAAATAATGCTTGAAGTATGCAGAATTGTCTGCAATCTTGTGTTTTTGATTGATATTTTACAGATAGAGCAACTTGATCACATTCTTGTGACACTTGCAGAACTGAGTCACTCAGTTGACTTCAATAAATGTTTTTAGAATCTCAACAACAAGATTATGAAGAATTTAAAGCATACAAAAGAAACTGTGATCTGCCAATTGATTGATATGAAAAAGGAGCTGTTTTTCTTGTGAATCAGTGAGAGCTTTGCAGTGGATAGAGCTTGCTTCCTTTCTTGACATTTGAACACCTCTATAATGCCTTGACAATGTATATCAGCTGATTCCATATTTTTTAGCAGTTTCAGTGTAATTAGGCATTAATTGCGTGTTCAAATCATCAATTGTGGCTTTTATAACTGCTTCATGGTGCATGTTGTGGGTGGTTAAAGATGAATGAAAAATGAAGATTTGAGCGGGCGTTGGGTGTAAACGGGCGTTGGGTGGTTGATCACGTTACATACCCCATTATGTATTCACACCTCGCGAAGCTCAAGTTCCAAAATTGTCAACGGTGTCCAAAGACCAACATAGCTTGCAGTTGTCTGAATTATTACCAAGCAAATATAGATTAGTAGAACACTCTTTAAAATATAAAAGCTGAAAATCCTTAAACATAAGTAGCTTAACTAACAGTGTGTTCTTGAGATGTTCTGGAGTGTGACGTTCTCTGAAGTGAGTATTCTGGACTAGAGTGATATTCTCACTATACGCAGCAGAGCGCAGTATTTCAGAGGTGGAATTCTGCAAACTGTTAACCCACTACTTACTAAAGCTGGGATGTAGGGAGTTCTGTGCTTGACTACTGCAGAGCGGCCGTTCTTTGAGAAAGGATTGCAGTTGAAACTTTCCAAGGGTTGCCGAAACAACTTGTGGTGATGCACATCCCCGGGTTGTATGTGCCTACCTACTCCAAGAAACTCGCTGCGCTTGACTCGTGCTCGCAAATTCTTCCACTGTTGTTACCATCTGAACCAGAGCTCAATAAAAACCACCCTTTGGCGCAACGATCTGCACTACGAGAACATTCACATGAACCCGGAGAAATGGACCGAGACCGTTGCTATGATTGACTGGCAGTCAATGGATGTCATGCCCCTATATGACTAATCTTTAGGCACGGCGTTCTTGGGCTACGAAGACCCCTGATATAGGAAATAACCTTAGCGCCCCTGTTCTAGACACCAAAGATATCAACCAAGCAGAAAGGAAGCTTGTCAGCAAAAGGTACCATGATAGGGCGATCATGGTGGCATGGCGGATGATGGTGAAAGGTAAAATCCTGACCAGTATGAGACATTTCAATTCCGCAATTCACGGCTGGCCATTTACTCAATCTTGCTCGGAACATCTCTGTTTTTGATGAAGTTTACTTTCGAGCGTTACTGCTCGATGCTCGGGATGAATGGTCCTCAGTTACCGAGTTTTCCCTTTAATTCTTAGCTGAAGAGGTTGCAGAGATTGAAAAAGATGTCGAGTGTGATGATGAAGGAATCAAGGTACTGAATATAACCAAAGAGAAGCTTGAAGATCGGTGGCCGGAAAAGGGGATAATAGAACACGCGAATTATGAGGCTCTGATGACAGAACTGAAGGAGGTAAAGGTGCATATCATGTGGAGATACTTGAAATGTGATGAAGATATAGAGGCATTTGAGAAGCGTTGGCCGTTTCATTGCTAGGAAGGTGTTTGTCAGTGCAATCACTCTCACATCAAGCTTTTTATTTATCTAATACAGGACGGAGTGTTACAATCCTGTAAGTAGGAGAATATCAAGCAAAACCCGACGATATGCGGAAGCTGGGTCATAAAGAACTTCATGTATATATATACAATACATACAACAAACACTTGGGATGAAGGACATAATGTTTCCACTTACTTCATGCACAATGATCGTCTCCCTCCCGAGCTCTTGCGCCCTTCCTTTTTACATCAGTTCCGATGCTTTGCTTTCCGAGAATATAGAACTCTAGGCTGGCTTGTTCCCAACGATACTTGGATCTAACATAGCGTGGTCCCAGACTCCAGAATTCGTTTATGACATGCATATATCATCCATTATTAATTGTTATCATGCTTGTGTTCAGTCGACATGGTCAACTTCAGCACCAAAATGATATAATAACAATAGTAAGCAAGCAAGGAGTAAACTAGCGTTAGTTGGTTACGAGGGAAAATAGAAAGCTAATTAAATCCACACCTCCACGTTATGATCTTCGCTGCAATGCGAAACCCTCCCTTCAAAAAAAATAGAAATAAAAAAAAGGGGAAAAAGGGGAAAAAAGGGGAAAAGAACAATAAATGAGTGAGTAAAAATGAAGGAAACAAGGAAAGAAACATGGAAATAAGAATGGGAATAAATAAGAAAAAATAGTAAGTGTCTTAAGGTAGGGAAAACATGCTCAATTCATGAGAACAGAGGAAAACAGGCCCTTAAAAATAGTGAAGTCCCTCTCTAGCTGGCCGGTCAGTTAACCATGACGAATCTCATTTGTTGTTTTTGATGGCAACTATTGCATTTAACCGCAAGACAGAGTTTACACTGCCAGGCAGCAATAAATGGCCCAGAAGTGCAAAAGTGACAATACCATTGCATGAGTCCACCAACTGGGCTCTGAATGACCGCCCAATGATGAGGACAGGCCATCGTTTGAGATATGTGTAATTTGTACCTGGCTATAGCCAAGCCGCTACTAGCTCCTGGTTGGGATTGTTTGGGGGTTTTTTGGTTGGGGAAAGCTGATAGGCGATCAGATTTCGGATTTTTGATTAACAAGCACGATGATTGGACTATTAGATCGCGTGGTTTGGCGCAGCAGACGAATCGTTTTTTTGATTCGATGGGTCACTCTGCAGGGCCAGAATTCCCGACGCTCCGGTCTTCGGGTCTCGTTGCTGTGCCCCTATAGGCTAGTCAACTTAGTTCTGTGGGTCGTTCCAGTCTTGAGGGATTCCAACGAAGACGAGGCGCTGAGAACTGCAGGAAGGGAAGCCGATTTGGGATTTATGGCGCACGAACAATAATATTCTTATTCACCAACGCTGGATCGAGGAGATTGGGAAGTGAACTTGAATATGTTGTGCCAAACTAGAGATGGTTGTTCGAAGATGTATTTGAGGAAGTGATATTTTGGCGGAGTATTACCCGTAGAGAGGAGATGAATTCGATGATCTCTGTTGGCTTGTAACTTCCCGTCACCCTGCACGAAGAACTGGTCTTTGGCGGTGGAGTCGATTGTTCTTGAAGATATTGATCGGTAGGAGCCAACAGGGACAGTTGGTGTGACAGTAAAATCCGGGAGAAAAACTGTCAAACAGTTGACGGCTTTCAGAGAATGTTTCCAGAAATCAAGTAGATTAAATCCAGCAGCGTAAATACTGAATCTCTGTCTTTGTCTTTCCTCCTCTGTTACGTAACTCCCCGATCGTCAATTGATGGGCAAGATGCCAGAGAATGAACGTGAAGACCAATGAGAGACAACTGATCACGGATAATGAAAGTGCCTATTTTGAGGTGGAAAGTTGCTGACGATACAATTGGTGCTTGGAAAGAAGTAAGCAAAGTCAAAGTGAAGGAATATGCCTATTTTTTATAGCGATCATTGGGATTCAAAAGGGAGCCGCATGGGAAGCGCAAGCAGCAAGCTATCATTGATCAAATTTCAGGGCAGCCGTTCGGTCCTAGATAGAGTTTCTGTTTGAATGAAATACCTCGACGGCGCCATCCATGGTTGGATCCACAAACTCTAGCAAATTCGGTGAGCCTGGCACGATACAAGTGATAACCGCAAGATTTGCGAGAAATGCCCGTCTCTGGCCAGAAGGAAAGAATCTGGGATCACGGTCCCCCATACCTCACTTGGCAGTAACTATCACAATATGGGAACTATCTGCGGTCTGAAACGTCCAGGCACCGTAGGCTTGATCTGCCCACTAGATAGAACTGCAGCCCACGAACCAGGAGACCGGGACAACACCCTCTCTGGACTTGGGACTGGCCAGTGAGAGGACCCTTTTTAAATAGGCGACGGCGGGGTGCTAGATAATCTTAGCGTGCGCTATGATGGAGCCAAACTGATACCGCAACTTGACCAGTCTCATTGAGTTTCTACCTTCCGGCTCCTACTTAACCCTTGTCTGTCTCCTCCTCCCCTTTCTCTTCTTCCGTCGTTGAAACCACTATCATTAGCGTTATCACAGGCTCGTTGGGCTTCAAAGATGAGTCCCTCCGTGGTGACAAAGAAGGGAAGTGAGAAGCTGTTGATAGTTACCGCCCATACAGAACGAGAGGCGGAACCAGCCGTGCATTTCCTGATCGGGTGTCCAGCCTCATCCAGCAGCTCTGCCAATTACGAGGCGATTGTTCCGACACCCCATCCGCCGGGTGCTTCTACACGGCTAGCCGTGTGTTTGCTTTTGCTTTTGCTTTTGCTTTTGCTTTTGCTTTTGCTTTTACTTTTGCATTTACTTTTGCTTTTACGAGAGAAGTTAGTTAACTAACTAGTTAGTTACCATTCGCTCAGCATCACCGAGGTTATCACGCCAGGACGATCAGTGGCATCTGACATGGCGCGCGCCCTGCCTGAGGCCCAGCAATTCAGTAAGAGCTCTTAAGGGTTTACCTGGCTACAAGGTCATAAAAACACCTCTCCTGTCGTCAAAATTGACCTTCCAGGGTTTCGGTGCCCTGCTAGCATCGCCAAAATCGCTTGCCAACAGGCGCAAGCGGCTGTGTGGTCTGTGCGGGCCTCGCTCCAAGGCTTATGCGTTTATAAAGAAATTGTATCAACGGGAACCGCAATTGGATTTCTGGCTTGTGCCAATCTTGGAGGTGGTTGTCTTTACCTAGAACTCTTCTCAGCTCAGGGAGACGTGGTCACATATAGGAAATGGGACACATCACATATCTAATCCCCCAAGTCAATCAGCGTATGCCGACCATCCTCTCTCTCTCTCTCTGAGAAAATCTTCCCTTCACCAGCTTTCTCTATTATTCCCGCTTCTAGATTCACGTGACCTGAACAGCCCAACAGGGAAACTTCACAAGATCTTCACTCAAGCGCACAGAGTCATAGTTAAGCTCCACAATCGACCCTGACCATAAATACCTCGTCACCATCAATATCTTGGTATATAGACGGCGGCCCTCCTCTCTCCCTTTGTCTGCATCCCGCTCCGCAGTTAGTTGGGCGAGCGCGTATGCCATGAACGACCTTAGACGGCGCGCAAGGCATGCACGGGTCCACTCCTGGTAACGTGGCAACTAGCCGCCATTGCTCCGCTGAGCGGCTCCTAGGAAGGTAATATTAACTATCCACCTATATGCAGCGGCATACAAGGGTTCCAACTCGTGATATTATTCGTTGGCTGTTAACATTCCCTGGGTGGAATATATCGGTCAAACAAAGTTTCCAGAGACTACAAAAGACTTGCCGTGAAGGTTATTTAGTAGTTCAGGCTTTGTCAATCCACTTTAAATACGAGAGTGGTAACTATGTCTGAGCACTCCAACAATCTGGAGTTTTTCTAGGGAATTGGGTGACTGAATCGAATTCTGGCCACCTGAACTTGCCCCCACAACAGGCATCACAGCGAAATCTCTCACATCAAGGGTACATGGTTCCAATTGTCAATTGGCAGGATATGCAAGCTCTAGGTGGACTGCAAAATGGATGATGATAAGACTCTTGTTAAGGATACGAGGTCAAAGAACTATATATAGCTATCATGAACTGTGGTGGGGGGGAGAGCTTAGTAGCAGTCATTGCTGGAAAGCCCAACTTGCGCCGGCTTTCTCCGCTGTGAAATTATGTTATATTTTCGAACCCGATAACAATCTTCCCATCAACCATTGATGCAAAATCAACCCTCTATCATGCGAGGAGAATTGAAATCGGGCACATGGCTCACTCGCAGATAACCACATACACCAGCCTGATTGTGTCCTTCGAATGTATTTCTAATCTGGCCCCAATCAAGGAGAGCAGGGAACAAGATGATTGAATAGGCCCGAATCCAAAAAGAAAGCAAAAGAAAAAAAGGATCGAGATACAGGTTCTTTTTCGCCCATTAACTGACCCTAACCCAATTTCTAGAGTGCTGATCCCTTTAGCTGGCCTAAATCAAGCCTTTGGCCCAGACCGTCTACAATGTACCGAATCAAATCAATCTGGAGAAGGTGAACTCGAAAGCCCCTATCGGGGCCTGTGCGAGCTGGATAAGATCTGTTCTCCACTGGATTCTGCCTCCCTGCGTCAGCAAGCTCAGAAATTCTTAATTTATGCCCAACCAATCAAAGCTTCGATGTGAAGACCAATCTCGTCATGCAACCCCGCATTGGTCATCTGAATCTGCTGTTTGCCAGCCTAACTGCTCCTATTTATGGTCCAGCCTGTGAAAACTCATCGAGGGGTCCGAGTGAACACTGAATATAATGGGATGTCTTTAATTAAACGCCTTTCAAAATAGCTCCATGTGCACATGTTCAGCAACACCTTGACGCCCGGGCTCCTCTCACCCAAGTTTTCCAAAGCTGAAAAGCTTGCTGCGATCGATGTCTATCATCCGGCCAGCATGCCGACCGCATGCCGACCCAATCACAAATTTTTAGCTTTTTACGCCACGATGCAGTGCTGGCAAGATACCCGCCGCCCGATTCAGTGCTGGCGTAGTATAACGCCACCCATGCAAAAAAGTCCACATTAGATTCGACGCGTGCCTCATAGGATGATGGGAGTCATAGCGCGGCTATGCGGCCTTGTCTGGTCTGCCTAAATGGGCCACCGCTCAACTTTGATGTTATTTTTGTTTGAGCTTTCTATCTACGTGCTCGTAACAACTCTTTGCTCTATGCTTCGCTTTCTTCCTTTTTCCTTTTTATATCCACCCCCTTTAATTTTAGTTCGCTGGCAAAAGAACGCCTTGTTTTTCTACCAGAAATTTTTCGAGAACAACCCCTAGCAATGTCCATTCTCCCTAAAATGATACTATCATGGTTGTGACGATATGTCCTGCAGACTACGTGCACCTTCATGAACATAACTTGGTCTCGGTCTCTCAAAGCGCCCAAACATAGAGCTTTGGGGACAACCTGCCATTTTAACTCTCCTCCATTCGCTGGAAATACCTATCCAGCCATATTGCAGCCCAAATCAGCTGCAGAAGACCACCGCAGGAATAGCAGTCATGGATACGAATATCTTATACCAATTAGTGTGAGCGCACGATGGTATGGTGATCAAAACCCCTCTTTCTTCCAGCTTTAGGTCTAAAACAAGAAAACATTCATACCCACTTCGCTAAACCTTTTCTCCACAATTTTCATGTCGAGCTACTAGCACATAGGTATGGAATTCAAGAGAGGAACATCGTTCCGTCTCAATGTCATCCTGATTAACAGCCAGTTGACGCGACTCGCATTGGTGGGCAGCTCTTGCGTCCAGCTCCGAGTCTCAGACCAAGCAATAACTAATGGAAGCCATGAGCCAATGGGTTTCGTCATCCCACGGGACTGAATGAATTGTGGCACCAGAGGCTGCACGTTGCTTTTTCCCCCCATGTGGCCCATGCATTGTCTTATTTATTTACTAGTTCAAACTCAAGGCACGGTCCATCTGTCCATCTGTTGAACTTGGCTCAAATCAAGAAGAGAATGGAAATGGCAAAGTGGCGAGCAGATACCAATTACCATTTTTGTGGTCTCCTTCCGTCTATTGTCCTCCCCGGCTTTCTTTTTTTGTATCTAACCCTTTACTACCCGATGCATTGACTAATCAAGTTATTTCGTCGCTAAAAGCTTCACCGACACCAGTTGCCCCAACATAAGGCAATTATTTGAAAAGGAGGGGAAAGCTGGACAAAAAGCTGCAGGGCGACGAACACAATGGCACCATACATCCACATGTTGGAAAAAAATTATTTTTCAAGGCAGGGATATCCTTTTGTTTCGGCTCTTTCGCTCCTGATTTAATTGCAGTGTTGCATAGAATAATATTAGATGCGTTCGGCATGTTAGACCGCGGAAATGGCAAGAAACCGGAGGGTTCAAGGTACATATCATCCGAAGAAGCAACAGGTAAAGCAATCCATTATAACAAAATGTATCCCTTCCATCTACTGAAGTACATAGAAGTATATGACTTACAATAAATAAAAATGTAAGGATCGAAGAGTAATGTCGGAGACAGGACGAGATACAATATCTAAGATGAACGTTCGGACTTCTTCATCTGGGTATAAAACAAATCGAGTTACAGCCTTCCTTGTCCTTTGCTCCCTCCACAGCCCCATTCCTCATCCCAAACCAACCCAGCCCTTGTGATTTAATTCCCCGCAGCTCTCCCCCCGAACGTCCCCAACTCATAGAACATGAACAGAGATATTCAGGTAAAAGCGAAGAAAGGAGAAGAAAAAAGTTCCAAAGAGAAGTGAAAGCAGGAGTGGAATTGGAGAATAGAAAGGAGACAGTAGAGAATGAGGCAAAAAGCGATAAAAAGCCGCAACAGAGGAATTCCACTAAGGGGAAAAGTCTGAGTCGTGCATGCCGTCTCCATTCCTAACCCAATACTGTTCCTCATAAAAAAGAAAAGAATTGGATCGGCAATTGGTTTGATCTGCCAACGCTCCGTTAAGAACAATCTTTGTGGGAATATCAAGAAAAGTTATAGGGATATAAATAACCCATTTTTTCTTGCCAGATGTCCTTGCAGTACCCTTTCACGGTTCTGCATCGTTGGTATGTAATTTCCATGATTTTATTTTTATTTGTTTTCTTCTTTTGTTTGCTTTCTCTATTTTTTAAAAAAAATAAAAGAAAAAAAAAACCTCGCCACGGTTGTGTGGAAAAGCACGTACGTCAAATCGTATAAGGGAAATGGTGAACGGCACGCATGCATACGAAAGGAAGGGATGGAAACGAAAATCGGGCAGAAAAGGGTGGGAAATCGGTTGCAAAACTGAAAAGATACCATGATTGGTTGCTCTGATGCCAATCAATCGAAGTGAAACAAGAATCTTTCAAAGGACGTGGCGAGAAATTGTAACTTTCGCTTCGTGCCGTGCCGTCTGGAGAGTTAGGTCACGTCTTGTATGAACGAAGTGACCACCAGTGTATGATGGACATCAAACCACTTTGTTTGCGTGCTATTTTGTCCCTAAAAGGTATATGGTAATAGATGAAATGGAGGGGAGGGTATGCGCAGTGAGTTTGGTGGGGAAAAGTAATGGATATCTGGAATTGATACGTAATCATACATAACTTAATTGAAATAGTCTACGTAGCGGCCTGAGATAGCAGAACTGTCATCTGAACACAAACCGCATAACTAGAAAGAGTATGTTGTCGGGGGATAACGCTCAGAAGGAAAAAATAAATTTAGACCATTTAGCTGGACGCCTGCAACGGCTGGCAGGTGGCAAACCCGGGTGGTGATAGGCTACATCATCGATGTAAAAGACGGATGCAGAAAGGAGTGCGCAAAAGGTAACCCCAAGATGGCTAATCGTGATTTTGGAAAAGAGAGGAGATACTGGTGAATATCAGTCAGTCAGCGTTTACAATAGGTAAAAGGGGAAAGGAAAGAAAAAAAAGAAAAGAAAAGAAAAGAAAAAGAGTTATTCCGTGAATTAGCAAAGACCAACCTCTCTCCATAATGGTGACGTCTTATGCTTTCTGATAGGAGCGCTGATAAATCAATAACAATTAACTTTTTCAACTCCTTCGATTTCGTGGGAATTGGGAACGAATTCGTGACTACAATGAAATCAATGCACTCGCAGGCTTCCATCTCCTGCAGTGACTCAATACCAAACAGGCCATGTGTGGCAATGCAATAGACCTTTTTAGCTCCTCCTTTCTTCACAACTGTTTCTGCAGCAGCGATCCATGAGAGGCACTTATCAATCATGTCATCCACGATGAAAACTGTCTTTCCCTTGACATCACCAACAAGGGTTATCGTCCTTTCTCCAGTGGACATTTCTTGTTTATTGTCTTCTTCATCAGAGGAAACAGCAGCATCAAAAGAGCCCCCAAGAGCATGGTCAGGTTGGAAAGACGACGTTGTGGATATAAAGGAAAGCGTCATGGGATCCTGAGTGGGTGGTTCTGAGGACTCGGTGCCATTGCGGTCCGTATGAAGGTTAGTAACAGATGCACATGACGAGAGGATGGGTGAATGGTAGTCATCGTCTACAATATGTCCCTGTACTAGTCTACCTGTAATAACTTCTCTTGCGCGCTCATCTGTGTATTCAAACGCAGCCTCTTGCTCAGAAAGACGACGGGCAGAAAACGATGCTTCAGGATGCTGAGCCGGACTAAGCGAACGGGTGGACTTTGATGACTGCGCCTCAGTTTCGTTAGCGGAAGTTTCTTGAGTTAACGGGCTGGGAGAGACGGTAGGCTGGGATGGTTGTACGAGAGCGGCGGTCGAAGAAGGCTGCGGCTGCGGATATTCGGATTTGCTAACATGATCCACAGGGACCAATTCATCTCGCGATGTGGGAAGACCATGTTCAAGAGAATCGAAAAATGTGGTGCTGCCTGAAACCCCCCCGTTCTTATTGTCACGCCTCCGGTCTGTGTTCACGATGCCAAAGTTCAACTTCAGAGAATCAGCCAAGGACGTAACCCTTTTACTTCCTCCGGCATTTTTAGTGACTACAACCGCTTCGTTCCAACGAGGTACGTTCATTCGAATCCAGCGCGCAATTAGGGGCTCAGCAAAGAGGTTATCGACGGGTTTCCCGAAAAATCCTTGCATTTGAGACGCCTGGTATCAAAACGGTTAGGACCAAAAAATAAAATAAAATAAAGGGAAACGAATCCAAAAGATAAAATTTCCCAAAAAGAGAATGTCCATACATGTAAATCCACTGTAATTATATGATCCACACCAGCCACAGTGAGCAGATTGGCCAACATCCGTGCTGTTATAGAGCCACGATGACTTTTCTTCTTCGATTGACGAGAGTACGGGAAGTAACTCTGGAATGTCAGCAGTATTGGGATTGAGTGGGGAAGAGAAGGCAGTAACCTACGGCATCACCGCTGTAACAGAACCAAAAGAGATTAGCAGGGGCATAGGGTACAGTTCAAGCCGGGGGGATGTAGTCGTGTAGTTAAGGAGGAGTATAGATGCAAGACCTACATACCAGTAATAGACTTAGCAGACCCCCCTTTGCAGGCAGAAATCATGATCAGTAACTCCATAACGCTGTCGTTGATTTTGGCGCTCCCGCTCTGGACAATGAAGACATCCTGGTTCCGCACGGAAACACCTATATTGACGCTTGTTTCTCCATTGCTGAATTTGCGTAGTTCACACTGAGCTGGAACAGTTCCTAGACGTTCACAGATAGCTTCTGTCAACGCAGGGTGTGAGCTGCCTGAAAACACTTGTACGGTGCGCATGTCTGGTAGCGATACGCTAGACGCTGTTGTCTGGATTTTCAATTGTTGGTGGTCATACGAGTGTCGAAAAACCGTCAGATAATTTGATAACTGGCTGAATCTTCTTCTGCCCTGCAGCTAGTAGTGCCTGTTGGTGAGAGAGATGGTGGATGATATCAGGATGGTTATCATTGGAGCGGAGACAGATCTTTTGGGTGGATAACTTACTAATGAAACTAAACCATAATTTCCAACTGAGCAAGACACTTAACTAAGACTTCGAATCAATATTGAGTGAATAAATTTATTTAATATTGTAAAATTATAAAAATTTTAAAATTGTATAAAAATATTTTATCAAATAAAAAATATTATAAAAAATATAAATATTGTAAAAAAAATATCTACAACTTGAATAAAATTAACTATTAAATAATATAATTTATAAATAAGTATATCACTTTATAAAAATCTAAATTCTGATGTATGTTAACTATTTTTCAAAAAAAAAAATAACTAAATTAATTTAATTAAAAAATAAGATTATTTAATTATTTTAATGTAATCAATCATCTACTGAATCATATCATTTATCAGATCACTTTCATTCAAATCATTCATACTCTATTAAAAAATTCAAAATGTCAATCACTCTCATTAAAAAGACTTCTCTAATCAGAAAGTCAGAGTATTATTAGTCATTAAAGCTTATAAAGCTTAGTAAATTACAACTATTAGAGCTGCTTCTAAGTTATATAATGTTCTCTAATTTCTTTTTGATCTATAGACTATGCAGTTGAATCACACATGCAAATGCTCAATTAAAAAATTAAAAACTGATCTCTATGAAAGAAGAATCTCTAGTTCAATGAATAATTTTCATGAATGAGAGAGAATAGTCTTCTCAAATTATGACTATACAAGAAATGATTAATCTACTTTTTGAAAAGTATAAATTTAATACTTCTACTATTGTAAAAGAGTGTTCAGTCAATAAATTTATACAATAACATTTTAAATTAAAGATAAAGTTCTCACATAAATATAACTATCAACAAGCTCTGTGTAAGAATTCAAAGATTTTATATAAGTAATTTATTTTGATAAATTGTATAATAAAGAAGTTTGAAATTATATCAAAGAATATTTACATTTTTAATAAGATTGACTTTATAATGAGAATTATTTCAACAGTCAGAGTGATTACTAGAGCTGAGAAAGATAACAAATTATCTATTATATAATTAAAAAATACTGAATGAGTAACTGTGATTGAAGTAGTCAATGTTATAGACTGAGTTTTATCTCTTATAATTATACTCAACAACAAGTATTATTAATTCTTATAATATAAGTAACTATCAAAGAACTAAACAATTAATATTAATAAGAAGAACTGAATTATAGATGAATTTGATTTAACATAATTATAAAAAATATTCAACAGATTTACTAATTTATATGATTGATAAAGAGAAACTGTTAAGACTTTAATCTAGATGTAAATGAAATAAATATTTAATTACCAGTTAAAGAAGCTATCTAGATGAAATACTAAGATAATTTCTAACAGATGAGTTCAGAGAAGGCTCTATTTATATAGCTCTTTTTCTTAGTACTGTTTCTCACATTTATATGTTATTCATATGTAGGGTAATTGTGAGGTTGGTTGCTATGCCAATGCCTAGGCAGTTGTGATTACTGATCGCCTCGGCCCGTGGCCTTAAGCCGTTGAGGAGGCTGGACGGAGCCCGGCCGTTCTACGCCATCACAGAGACTATTAATTTTAAATGAACATGATAGTCATATCACAGTTAAATTTGACAAGTTCTGTCCGAATCATGACATTATAGTATTATATATGCCTTCTCACTTCTCCCATCTACTGCAGTCACTAGATGTGAGCTGCTTTTCATCATTGAAAAAAGCATATGACAAGAAGATGAAGCAAAGCATGAGATTAGAAATCAATCATATTGATAAGAAGGAATTTCTGATTAGCTATGCAGCAGCTAAGCAGGAGGCCATGAAGGACATTACTATAAGAAATGAGTTTAAAGTCACAGGTCTAGTGCCATACAATTCAGATAAGGTCTTTACTCAACTTCATACTCAATTTCATACTCCTTCCCCCCCTGGGTCAGTGCATGAATCTCAGTTTTTCTGGACTTCTAAAACTCCTCATAATGTGACTCAGTTGGAGCTACAGAGCAGCATAATTAAACACTATATGGAGACTCTTTCTAGTCCTACCAATCAAGCTCTTGATCATCTAGTGAAGGGATGTCAGCTGGCCATGCATAGTGCTGCTATATTAACAAAGGAAAACACAGAGCTGAGAGCTGCCAATGCCAGGCAGAAGTGAAAGAGAGAGAAATCATGTTTTTTATAGCTAAGGAAGGAATTCTAACAGCTTAAGATGCATTAGCTAGGACTGCTAGACTTCAAAAGCCTGATCAATATACAGAGAAAGGGGTTGAGGATTTGAACCCTGGGACTAGAAAGTGAAGGCCCTCAACCTGCAGCAAGTGTAATACACCTGGACATAATATTAGACAATGTCAACAGATCTAAGTGTCTATCCTATATAATTTCTATATATAATTCCTTGTGGTTGTTGCTTAATTTGAAATTTTGTTAAATAGAATGATGGGGGTGATCTGGTAGGTGATATGATCTGGTATGTGATTGATTACGTTAATTATCAAATGCCGAGGATAAGTTTCTATATGATATTCTATTTTTCTATAATATTCACATTATTGTTGAGTTTTTAAGTAAATATATTTTTATCATTTTGCAATCATGATAGATATATCTCTTTTGTAGTTTAAGCATCAATGTTAGTCAGATCAAATAGCTGATATCTATGATACTTTGTTAGAATTCTCTATCTGTATTGTTGTTTTGTTATATTGATTTGAGGCGGCGGGCATACAACCTGAATGAGGACGAAGATCTCCAAATCCCAAATCTGATGAACGCAATAGCAATAAAATTCTATCTATGGAGGATTGTACTGTGAAATAGTTCTCTCCTAGGTATGGTACAGCGAAAGCTATTTGTGCTTGAGAGCTCTCTTGCTCCAGATCAACCATACGCGAACCTGATCAATACAACTAATATGAGACAGTTTTCTTTGCGAAGAGGATAATTGTTTCGTATCGTTAGAAGCTCATTCGCGAATAATACGGCATTGGACTGCCTAACTTTTCCACGTTCGCCCTCGACTGCTGCACGGATGAAATCTCGGTGCTCCGCCAGATCTAGATCGCGCATACCACATAGGCCTTTCAAATAAAGAATTCAGACCTCCTCAGCCTTTAAAGCCTTAATATGACTATTTATCTGCGAAATGTCGACGGGCAGTTTCGTCACATTGCTTTTCCACGCTTGCATTCGGCTTAGTAAGTATCTGTTGAGTTTGCCACTTCGTGCAGTCGGTCACGGCATGAGAGACAGGAATCACTAAAAGAACAAATAAGCGAGGTGTAGTTGTTTTAATGGAAAAGATCTGGCATATTACTCGCCAATCATCTTTCCACATTTGCAGCAGTGATGGTGCGCCCTGAGCCGACCAACCGTAAAATTAAGACTAGGACGAATGTCACGAAAGGATCGACGGTGGTCCATACATGGCACCTCCTGTCGTGCTGAAACTAAGCTCGCATTCTATCGCTGCGTCCATGTTTTGCTTGCCGGACGACTCTGGGTCATGATTGATGTGGATGAAAGATGGGTATTTTTCTCTGGAGATCTCGGGAGATATTGAGTTTTCGACTCCCCGTTATCACAGGGTCTTCTTCCCATTATCACACAACAGAGGAACGGCGTCGCCAATGCAGCATTCATGCTCAATTTATAACTTGGAGTGTTTCCTAGTCATGTTTTATTCTCCCGGATTGGTAATGATAGGGATATCGCAGGCATTTCTCAGAGAATGGCTGCAGCGCCATATTATTTGTCTAGGGCATGCACACGGGACAGTTACAACCCATTGCCCATGCAGTTAACTAGCTGTGTTCTTTCGCGGAATTTTACAGCACACGCTACCCTTGGCACAAATTCTGAGATTTATGAACCTTAAGGCCTATGATAAATCGAAAATGTATAGTTATTGATTGGCAGACTGATAGGAAAATTGCTTGAAGCAAGTAGCAAGTCGCAGCTTTCCCTACAGTGTCTTCCATTTTGATAACCCTGAATGTTATCAAAGCAACATGAAAAGGGAACAATGTCTCCAAGAAACCTGCTGCTCTCAAATCAACAACCAACTTGTCTACAAACATCACATTCTTATTCTCCCAAACAAACAACCCTCATCAATAGCCCTCGATCAAACATTCTTTTAAAATGCCCTCCGAAATTGTGCCCTGTATGACCTGTCAGACCCCCTGTCCTCTACACAGAGTAGCTGCCCTTCCTGAGACGGCCGACCTCACACGCAGCACTGCCACTCTGACTGCGGTAAAATTCCTCCAGTGAAGCATAATTGATCAGGTCGTCACCGATGTCTACAGGCATGATTGCCATTAGGACTATCCAGGCCAGGGATGTTAAAGAGATGCTTCATCTCCTTCAACATATCCAGCATCACAATATTCTCTCCTCACAGAATTGTTTTGTGTACGATGGTTCCATCTTTACTCTCCACGAAAATATCGCCATCTCGCTGAGCCACATTGTTGGCTGTGAGGCTTATCCGGATGAGGTTGAGCTTGCATCCATTCTAGTCCAGGCAAGTTTGAGCAACACCTGAACCAATAAATATATTGCTAATCATTGTCAAAGATTCTTAATGGTCTTCTATATCTGACAGACTGGCGGCTGGAACACTCGCGCCTGAGCTCTTCCGACATTCTTGTTACTGAGGAGGGGGAGGTAAAAGTTGATACGTATAACTGTTCTTCTTGATAAACGCAGTTCTTGAACGCAATCTGTTTCAGCCGGTTTCAAAGAATGGGTAGACCTCCCGGCCACTCAGACTCCCCAGAACTCCAAGCCACTGGGTGCGATTACGATGCAGTTGATGCAGAAATACGAAAAGGAGCATGATATTGCTGGTGTGGATGATGGCCGTGTGACTCGTGCTACCGAATTTCTATCATCTATTGCGTCGAACATCCCACTCAAAACATGGCGTAAAGTGAGTCACAGCACTGCATGAAGAATGGACAACCTCACTGACTTGAGCAGCATCAGCTGTTCACAGAGACATCATGGGCAAAAGGTCGTCTTATCGGTTTGGTATCTTTTGCTCTCCCGTTCATTTTTTACCTTTTGCTTGTACTCAAAATGAAGTATGCGCGTCCTCGCTTGTGAATCTTAAAATAAGCTTATTTTATTTTGGAGTCGAACAACCCAATGAACGAGAAGCCCAAAGTGACATCATTCGAGGAGGGCTGACTAAGATTAGTTAACTAACTAGTTATTCCTAACCATAAGTTAACTAATGTATTTCCCAAGTCTTCTCATTTAACTACTCATCCACATCAAATTCAACACCCAGAAGGCCTAACTAGGAATGAAGCTTAGAATCTTATTATTTCATCTGCTGCATCTGTTGAACAGACAGTTATTCAATCTCATGAGGTTCAGTCATCTGAGCCTGCATCATGTCAATGAGCTCCACAACACTGCAGCAATTGTGACACTCTCAGTCATACAAGAATAAGATGTCCTCAACCTAGTGTAATTTAATTGAGTGTTGTGGTGTTGAGATAATTTGATTTAAATCTAGTCGTTGGGATACGATGATTTTGTGATCCGCTTGCTTGGGAATTATGTTAGCTAGTGCTGTCATCTTAGCAAAGAAAAATAAAAAGTGAATAGCTGCAGTTAAAAAGAAAAGGTGTAACAAGAAGCAAGCTCATACATTTATAGCTCAGAATGAAGCTTTAACAGCTGAGAAAGATATAGCTAGAGCTTGAGCAATTGATCAGGCTGTATGTTAAGGGAGCGAATGCGAGCTGCAAAAGAAGGATTCTTCGCGTTGCTAACTGCTATACTGACAAAATACTTAATTTAGTTGAGAGAAGAGATCTATGGGTCACATGATACTAACAAACCTAATAGCAGAGATCACATGATAGGGCACCGAGATAGCCAAAGAAAGAGAATAGAGAAATTGAATCAGTTGTATGGAAAGCAAGCTTCACCACACTGCAGCTAGTGTAATATAGTTGATCACACTGCTAGAAGCTGTCAACAGACCTAATAGATAGATCTATATATTTAATATAAAAAATTCTAGTTGATGGTTGCTTAATTCCTCAATTTGTTAGATTTGGATAGGGGATGCTAGCTGTACGCGTATATCACGTGAGGTCCCAACAGATTAGATGTGATTACTAAAGCGATGACTGATATTGCTGTGTGCAGGGGGCTAGTCCGTAATAGGAAACCTAGGCTCCCCAGACTCAAACTGGAATCACGTGCCTCGGAAGTCCCCTCTCGAACGACTGTTTGACTTTACCGCCAAATCGTATAATGTTCAGTCTCTCTTAACTCCCTCCCATGAATTTTTACCTCATGTCATAGCTCTGTTTATGTGTTGCTATATACCCTCTGCCCGTGCTTTTCTTTTGATTCCTGCTTGATTTCCCTGTGTTCGATGTGGACGGTTATTCTCGCGGCGTGCAATCTCCCTATGTCAGCTTGTCCTTTCAATGGCTGAGCCTGATAATGTTCCTCCAAAGCCCTCCCCGGCTTTGGCGGAGCCTGCTCAGGTAGGCGGCAGCAGCAAGGTCGGCTCCGACGATCTGATTCAAGACCCTGGCTCCCGGCGACTGTTACAAGTTGGCAAAGAAGGTGTAGGTATAGATTCCTGCGCTGACGGGGAAGGCAAAACAAAGATGGACAATGTGGACATTGTGGGTAATATGGGCGCCTCCGCGACCGCTGCCTCCCCAGATACAGAGTCGCTACAGAGAGATGACATTGGAAAAAACCCTTCAATAGCAGTCGATCTCGTGCAGTCGGAAAACGCTAGTGATGCTGAGAAAGATGAAGCAGACTCCAGTGCAGAGGCTGAGGGAAATGCTTCAGAAGGTGAAAAAAGAACTGAGACTTCCTTGCAGCCCCCGCAGTTAGATGTGTCAAAGTCCGCCATAACAGAAGAAGATGCTCCAGCAGATTTTGTTACAGGACAATCGAACACCCCCGACATCAGGACACGTTCAGACTCGAGGTCTACCACCGCAACGCAAGTCACACAGCGATCCGCACCGATTAGTTCTGCAGTGTTTATTTTAACGGCTCTCGATACCATTGAATCTTCGAAGGCAGCGCGACGGAGCAAGGAATTGGAAGATGCTGTGGCGCAAGCCCGGGCGAATATCAAGCAATCGGAACAACACCCTATTGATCCAGAAGTTATTTTCCTACCTTTACAGCTGGCTACGAAGACCTCGAGTATCCCTCTACAAGTAACTGCTCTCGATTGCATTGGCAAACTGATAACATATTCCTACTTTGCGTTTCCCTCCGCTCCGCACGATGGGCATCTGCAAACCTCATCCGATCAACCTCCGCTGATAGAGCGTGCTATTGAGACAATCTGCGATTGTTTTGAAAATGAATCTACTCCAGTTGAAATTCAACAACAGATCATCAAATCTCTCCTTGCCGCGGTACTGAATGACAAGATTGTTGTCCACGGCGCTGGCCTTCTGAAGGCCGTTAGGCAGATATATAACATCTTTATATATTCCAAATCTAGCCAGAACCAACTGATCGCCCAAGGATCGCTCACCCAAATGGTAGGAACCGTGTACGACAGAGTCCGTATCCGACTTGACTTGAAGGAGGCTCGAATCCGTGATCGCGGAGACCATGATGATGGCTCCCAGGCACCCGAATCCATTGGTCAGACAAATGGCGACACTCCCAATGAGCAAGATTCATCGGCGGAGACGACTCAACCTGTTTCTGACCATCCAGTTGCCAAAGATTTGGTTGAGAAGCTCACGCTACAGAGTTTTGAGATAAATAAAGATGATACCATGGTCAGCGATAACGCTCCAACGATGGTAACACGGGCGAAGGCCAACAGGAAGCAGGCCAAGTCCGTATCTGGTGAGGAGGGGGATTCATTCGCTGACGATGACGAGGACGAAATATACGTGAAAGATGCTTTCCTTGTTTTCCGGGCATTGTGCAAACTGAGCCATAAAATCCTTTCACACGAACAGCAACTGGATCTCAAATCACAGAATATGAGATCCAAGTTACTTTCATTACATCTTATCCAGCATCTTCTCAGCAACCATATTTCGGTTTTCTCTTCCCCTCTCGCCACATTAAAACACAGCAGCAGCTCTTCTGATTCTATGACCCTTTTGGAAGCTATTAAACCCCATCTCTGTCTGAGCCTGAGCAGAAATGGTGCTAGCTCTGTGCCCCGTGTTTTCGAGGTTGGGTGTGAGATCTTCTGGCTCATGCTTAAACACATGAGAGTCATGCTCAAGGTTCGTTAACGGATCCCTTATCTCCACTCCTTATATTTTTTTTTTTTTTTGAACGAGAATCATCTGATAATTCCAACAGAAAGAACTGGAGGTTTTCCTGAAGGAAATTTACCTCGCCATTTTGGAGAAGCGGAATTCCCCGATGTTTCAAAAACAATATTTTATGGACATCCTAGAAAGACTTTCAGCGGACCCGAGAGCGCTCGTGGAAATATATTTGAATTATGACTGCGATAGGACAGCCTTAGAGAACATGTTTCAAGGGTATGCAAACTTTAACCATCATAGACTAGAGCTTGTTTTACTGACGGAAACAGTATCATCGAGCACCTATCGAGACAGTCCAGCACCCCTGTAACGGTTTCGGCTATGCAGGAACAACAATACCAGGAACAACAGGGCAAATCTCCCCATAATGCTCATGATTGGCATCAGAAGGGGACACTCCCACCGTCGCTTTCCACTGCAAAAATGGGTTCTACTACACCGACAAATACGCAGAATATACCTTTAGAATATATGATGAAGAAGCGAGCACTAGAATGCCTAGTGGAGATTCTAAGATCGTTGGATGTTTGGTCATCTAGGGAGCTCGCAGAGCAGGCCCCTCCCGGCCGCGAAGCCCCCCATCGAAGTTCAATAGGAGGTTCCAGAGAATCATTAGATACGAATTCTATGTTAGCTGCTCATTCGCCTAACATTGATAGCGGAGATTTTGCAACTGGACAATCAACCCCAGTGTTAGATGATGATCCTAGCCAAATCGAAAAAGTGAAACAACGAAAAATTGCCCTCACCAATGCTATTAGGCAGTTTAATTTTAAACCCAAAAGAGGAATCAAGGTCCTTTTATCAGAAGGATTTATTCGGTCCGACTCCCCTGCGGATATAGCGAGCTTCCTGATTCGAAACGATCGGCTAGATAAAGCAACCCTAGGTGAATACCTCGGGGAAGGTGATGCGGAGAATATTGCTATAATGCATGCATTTGTCGACTGCATGGATTTCAAGAAACGACGTTTCGTGGATGCCCTCAGGCAGTTTTTGCAGAGCTTTCGATTGCCAGGAGAATCCCAGAAAATCGATCGTTTCATGCTTAAATTTGCAGAGCGCTACTTAACTGGCAATCCGAACGCCTTTGCTACCGCCGATGCTGCTTACGTTCTTGCATATTCGGTTATTTTGTTAAATACCGATCTCCATAGCACTAAGATGAAAGGACGACGAATGACGAAACAGGATTTCATCAATAATAACAGGGGTATCAATGATAATAGCGACCTGCCTGAAGAGTATCTTTCCGGCATCTACGACGAGATAGCAAACAACGAAATCGTTCTCTATACCGAGAGGGAAAATGCGGCCAATTTGGGTATTCAAACACATCCACAGCCAGGCTTAGCGACCCGGGCAGGGCAGGTTTTAGCAACGGTTGGACGAGATGTACAAGGTGAACGTTATGCACAAGCATCGGAAGAGATTGCAAACAAGACCGAACAGCTTTATCGTAGTTTGATCAGAGCACAACGCAAGTCTGCAGTCAAAGAAGCCCTGTCGCGCTTCATTCCCGCCACTTCGGCACGACACGTTGGATCCATGTTTAACGTTACTTGGATGTCTTTCCTTTCCGGCCTTTCTGCTCAGGTTCAAGATACCCAACATTTGGAAACAATACGACTTTGCATGGAAGGGATCCGCCTTTCTATCCGCATCTCCTGCCAATTCGACCTAGAAATTCCAAGGGTTGCCTTTGTTACCGTGCTAGCAAAATTCACCAACCTAGGCAATCTCAGGGAAATGATGGCTAAAAACGTGGAAGCACTGAAGGTGCTCCTGGACGTAGCCATCACCGAAGGGAACTACTTGAAAGCATCTTGGCGGGAAGTCTTAACATGCATAAGTCAACTTGACAGATTCCAGCTCCTTACCGATGGCGTGGATGAAGGGGCTCTTCCGGATGTTTCAATGGCTAGACTCACTCCGCCATCCACTGCGGACGGCTCTCGTAGCCGAAAGTCTTTTCAGGCCCCCAGGAGACCACGATCGCGATCTGTCAATAATGGAAATGTACCTTATCGGGCCGAAGTTGCTATGGAAAGTCGCTCCACAGAAATGATTCGCGGGGTGGACCGGATATTTACTAATACCGCCAATCTGTCAAACGATGCCATCGTTGACTTTGTCCGTGCCCTTAGCCATGTGAGCTGGCAGGAAATCCAGTCTTCTGGCCAAAGTGAGTCTCCTCGTACCTACAGTTTGCAGAAAGTGGTCGAGGTCAGTTACTACAACATGACCCGAGTTAGGATCGAGTGGAGTAGAATCTGGGATGTTTTAGGTGAACACTTCAACCAAGTTGGGTGCCACACTAATACAGCTGTTGTATTCTTTGCTTTGGATTCCCTACGCCAGCTTTCTATGCGGTTTATGGAAATTGCAGAACTTCCTGGTTTCAAATTTCAGAAGGATTTCCTGAAACCTTTTGAACATGTTATGGCGAATAGCACCACGGTCACTGTCAAGGATATGGTGCTTCGCTGTCTCATTCAGATGATTCAAGCGCGTGGTGATAATATTCGTTCTGGGTGGAAAACTATGTTTGGTGTCTTCGCTGTTGCTGCACGAGAGCCCTATGGTAAGTTTCTACAGCGTTTATTAAAACCTGCATTCTTTATTTATTAACCATTCGTACAGAGGGGATCGTCAATATGGCATTTGAGCATGTGCTGCAGGTCTACACAACCCGTTTCGGAGTCATCATCACCCAAGGGGCTTTTGCGGACCTCATTGTATGTCTCACAGAATTCTCGAAAAACTTGAAGTTCCAGAAAAAGTCGCTCCAGGCAATTGAAACGTTGAAGTCAACAATTCCCAAAATGCTCAAGACGCCTGAATGCCCACTGTATCAACGCCGCCCTGGAAAAGAAGGAGAGGATATGCCAGCTGCTTCCTTACAGCCAAGTCGACAATCTTCTGAGGAGCAATTCTGGTACCCTGTCCTGATCGCGTTCCAGGATGTTCTGATGACCGGGGATGACCTTGAAGTTCGATCCAGGTAAATTATTGAATATCAAACCTATATTACGAGTCATATTTCTAACTGTAATTTATAGGGCATTGAATTATCTTTTCGAGACGCTAATTCGATATGGGGGAGATTTCCCTCCGGAATTTTGGGATGTACTTTGGAGGCAGCTATTATATCCCATCTTCGTCGTGCTCCAGTCGAAATCTGAGATGTCGAAAGTGCCCAATCACGAAGAGTTATCTGTCTGGCTTTCAACCACGATGATCCAAGCACTTCGGAATATGATTACACTGTTCACACATTACTTCGACTCTCTTGAGTACATGTTGAATCGGTTTTTGGAGCTTCTCACGCTCTGCATATGTCAGGAGAATGATACGATTGCACGAATTGGGAGCAATTGCCTGCAACAACTTATCTTGCAGAACGTTTCCAAATTCCAGCAGAAACACTGGACTAAAATTGTTGGTGCTTTTGTGGAATTGTTCGAGAAAACAACTGCGTATGAGCTATTCACAGCAACCGGCGCCACAGCATCCTCCAGGGACCTAGAGAGCCCGAAGCACACCGCTAAAGCAGCCGCTAGTGCAGAGCAGTCCGACGACGGTGCTCAAGACGAGCTTCCGTCGAGTTCTACATCCGCCAAAGTTAACGGAAATAAACCTACATATGCTGAAGATCGAGATGCACAAGATTTACAAACGAGTCCTGGCCATGTGCCGCCAGCAGCATCTGCCGAACTTGAGGATTACCGTCCACATTCCGATATGGAGCAACCCCCAGCAGTTGTGACAGTTGCTCGAAGACGATTTTTCAATCGAATCATAACGAATTGTGTTCTGCAGCTGCTGATGATCGAAACTGTCAATGAACTCTTCTCGAATGACTCCGTCTATTCGCAGATACCCAGCCAGGAGCTTTTGCGCCTCATGGCCCTCCTAAAGAAGAGTTATCAATTTGCTAAGAGGTTCAATGAAGCCAAGGATCTGCGAGTCCAGCTGTGGCGACAGGGGTTCATGAAACAACCTCCCAACCTCCTCAAACAAGAAAGTGGAAGCGCGGCTACATATGTCAATATTCTTTTCCGTATGTATCATGACGAAGGCGACGAGAAGAAGACTAATAGGGTCGAGACGGAGGCGGCACTGATACCGTAAGTCTGCTGGCATACCTCCCCCATCTACCACCATACCTTGTATAACTAGCACTAACATGAGCCTTCCACGCCCTTTTAGACTCTGTGCAGATATCATACGAGGCTATACCCATCTGGACGAAGAAACCCAACAACGGAACATCGTGGCATGGAGACCAGTCGTCGTGGATGTTATGGAAGGGTACACTGGTGTCCCCCGCGAAACTTTCGAAAAGCACATTGAAATTTTCTACCCCATCTGCATCGATCTACTCGGCCGGGATCTCAATAACGACATTCGCCTTGCGCTCTATTCTTTCCTCCGCCGCGTGGGAGAGTCTCGCCTTGGAATGCCACCATACTCTCCACAGGAGACACCCGTCAGCCCTCTGAGCTCCATTTCACAACATTATTTCAATAGTGACAGGAGGCGCAGTAAGGGTCGGTGAAAGAAAGGCCCTGCGCGTATTTCTTATCCTTTTTTCCCCTTCTTGCATTACTAGTGGTGATATCTTTTAGCTGCTGCTCATGCTTCCTATTTAGCAAGTTGACGTCCTGCTTTGTTGGTTTTGTTTGACGATTCTAACTTGTAAGCCCCCTTTTTGGATCCGTCCTTTAATACTGTACCTGTACATCTGCCTAGATACCTAGACTTCATTGGGTTCGAACATGTATTCTCCTTTCCTATGCCCCCGTCCTATTTTGCAGTTGTCGCATTTTGAGCATTTGAACAGAAGCGAAACGCTAGGCATCTCTTTTTTATTTATTTGTTTGTTTATTCGTTTGTTTAATACCTCTCGATCTCTTCATTTTTCGTGTATGGGCGTGCATACGTTCGTCCTTGTGTGGATGGAGTTTGTGAGTTTACTATAACCCCTATTAAGCAGAAAGGCCCACCAGATTTCAATATTTCTCGAGTTACATAATGAAACGGCTAGCTTGGTGTTTTCTTTTTCCCAGTTCCTATATTCCGTAGCTGAACCATCGATATCAATTGATCAATCCCATAACGCCCGTTGGAAAATGCAAATAACCATATAAACTGTTACATGAACAGCACATCACTCCGTCCGTCCATACTATACGATTTCTTATCTTCCACTGGGGCTCACCTGGTGTCTATACAACACTCCGTCCAGACACCGCATTAGCAACTGAAGCCCATGCTCCCGTCAAATACCGTCACGCCCGCACATTCTCCCAGACGCACTTGTTCGAACGTCGGCACTCTGTCTGAAGGATAGTAGCCGAGCAGGGCCTCAATATCATCCTCATCCATTTCTACGAGCTCTTCCAGACTCCACATTTCGCATATCCGGGAAATCCTATTGTAGCTATCAGATGGAAAAGGGAACGGAAAACAGGAGAACAGAGAACCAAGGAACTGATAAAAAGCAGACGTAGACGCAGAAAAAAGAGAAGTAACAAAGTGACTGACCATTTCATCCTCTTCGGTCCATCCTTCTGTGATGCCGCCAAGTCTCTCAGCCTCCTCCTCAATCGACCCACGTTCTCGATCGCAGCACCAGTATTCCCTGGTAACGACCGCGCAATGTGTTTGCGAACTATGCTCGCCAATTTCGGCCCGTTGCCATTCGTACTCACCATGATCTGTAACGGCCCATCCCGGTGCACGCTCCCGAAATAAAAATCACATTCTGAAGGCACGTCGGCTATGTTGGCAGGGATCCTGAGCTCCTTACACAGCTTCCAGATCTGCGTTGAGGCCTCCGGGTCATCGACGGCAACAAGCACCATATCTACCACCCCTATGCCATCGTTCTTTTCCGGATCAAGGTCATGCGGTTCGAATTTGCGGTCGATGTGCGAGACTTGTTTGGAGGCGATACGGTAGGAGACTTCGTCGTTGAGGCCTGAGGACGGGCTTATCACAGTTACCTTTGCGCCTGCGTTGAGCCCGTGAAAGATGCGCCCGGCTGCTACCTGCAAGCAATGGTTGGGTTGGGTTAGTTTGCCAAAAAAAAATAAATAAATAAATAAATAAATTAATTAAAAAAAAATAAAATAAATAAATAAATAAATAAATAAATAAATAAAGAGAAAAAAGAAAAAAGGGCTGGCCAATTGAAAACTCTGATATACTCCACAGCAGCAGCCTCAATTGTATGTCTGTATATATATATGAATGGATGGGTTGGACTGTACCTCACCCCCGCCGACCACAAGGATGTGCTTGTTCTTAGCCTGCCATGCGACGATGAGGGAACCGCCGGGCTGGATCTCGGGGAATTTCGAGGGCGGCATTCTCAGCAGGAGACATGTAGGATAAATTTCAACACGGTATATATATCGCGTACTGGTTATGGTCGTTAATATACTCTGCAGTTAAATATATACAATTTTGTTCTGGCTTACAAATAAGAAATCTGTAGCTAGCTACGGAACAACTTACTAACTAGTTAACTAGTTAGTTAATAACTATAACTATTAACTACTTAGCCAGTCACTGATCACTTACTCACGTGATATAACTCTATTTAGTAAGCCTATAGGGTGTGACTGGTGGGACGTCTGAAGTGGTTGTATTTGGTAGCTACATACTACTGTGCGGTGCGCTAGTCCATAATAGGAAGCCTCGGCTCCAACAGTGACCAAGTTAGTAGTTTTATCTCTCTGCCTAAAAGATTGAGAGATATAAATAAATGAAAATGTCCCTCCCAATCTTTATTCTTGCTTAGATCTGCGGCGTCCACTGCGGCCCCCACTGCGGCCCTCTCTCGATGGTTGACTTCTTTTTTCTGTACTTTTCCAAAGCACAGTCAAACCATCAAATCAATGGTGGGAGAACGTGCGGCGCGCACTTGGCTGGATGATAGTTTAAAAGCTTGGGAGGACCGCTTTGGTAAAGAGACCAGAGAACACTTAGAATGCTTCCGCAAACGTGGATGGCTAATGCCCCAATATGATGGAGCGACATGGGACAGTTTAAGAGAGATAGAGGGTTTTTGGCGCTGCTGATTTGGTCCCATTTATGTTCATCCCTCTACAAGACATTAATTTTCATAGGCAGGTACTGCGAAAGAACTCAATGGGGGTTACAGGGGAATGTCATCGAGCAGAGGTAGCTGAATACCAGGCTTTCTTTGACTGGATGCAGATGCTTGTTGAAAGAGGCTCAGGGTTTTATAAGGGTTTTACGAGGCTCTGAATACCTATAAGCTTTACTGGAATGTGCTCTCTGAATACCATACCTTCTTCAGCCAAAATCGACTGGATGAGAGATCCTTTCAGCAGATGCAGAGAGTCTGTCACCCACTTGATGTGCCTATGTTTCTTTATAGATTTTACACACAAAGCTCAGCACCAATCTTGGAAAAAGTCTTTCGCATATGAATTCAAAACAGCACCCCCCAAAAAGGAGGGGACCAGGACCAGAAAATCTGGGGGAAAAACGAGGTACTATAGATGTTGTAGTCTTTTCTGTGCTTGCGTGCCATCACTGGGTACATTCGAGGCATTTCTCTCATGGCAATATGCATGTTCTGTTTGAAGTTCTGGAAATGTGATCAGCAATCACGGGTTCATGACCTGGTTCACTTGTACCAAAATCTGAGGAACCTAAGGCCACCAACCCACGGAAATCCAAGAATGATGAATTCAAGGGTGATCTCCCAAGGCGCATTCGTTCGAATGACCATGCAGTGTTTTGTCCTTCTACGACCCCACCACAAGGAAATTCTTGAACGAGGCAGGAGCCAAATGAGACAACTGTGACACAAGAGCGCCTGGAAGCAAGCCTTCAGGTGCGGTAAAGAAGTCAGTTCGTGAGCATCCTGAAGTCTTGGAATTGAGACATAAACTCAAAGAATTGGCGGAGCAGATAAAGCTGTTGGCTGAGATCATACCAAGAGGTGAACAGATCTGCCCGGATCTCTATTGGCAGGACTATTCAGTCAAGAGAGAGCTAGCAGCAAGAGAAGCACCCTCACTAGAGATCTGAAAATCAAGGAAGGAGACGACTTCCTTTATAATATTGAAACAGAAGAAGTAACAATGAGATTGCACGACTACATTGAGGAGGTTGACAGACGGTTTTGTCACTCTGAACGGCCATTCTCCGGAGAAAACCGTTTCTCTGGATAAAACCACACTTCGCTGGACTTCCTCTTCAGTCTTGTTGAAACTGTGGAAAGAGCCATTGTTGTCAATGATATACGCTGGCGGGTGTTTCTGGCCGTGATGGCTTGGATTCAGGAGTCATTCTCCTCTCAAGACGCCTTTGAAACCTTGTTGCAATGCGGGTTGATATCCCATTCCTAGATTGAAAACAGTCAGAAATAGTGGGAGTCGAGAACGCGCGGAGAGCGAAATTATACGTTTCTTGCTCGTGACTTGGGAGGCTATTGGTGTTGGGTTTACCTTCATAGTATCAATCGTTCGATGTAAGTATACCTCCAGGTCTCCAGGTATTTGGTGTACTTTGGTTTGGTGGACTGACCAATGGCTTCTAAATACGTAGTTCATTTGCCACTGAGCGAGAGAATTATCATGCTACTCTTGCTATATTACACAATCAACACATCGCAGAAAAAGCTCAATCCATGTGGGGGACCCCTCAGCAGGCTGAGGACCAGTGGCGAAACGCCAATGATGTGATAAGGACCGTGGTCAAGTAGTTACTACTTGAAGGAAAAATTCCATAATATCATTTCTAAGCGTTCCATGGAACGGGTGTCTTGTGATATACAATTCCAGAACGCCTTACGATGCTCATTTTATGCTTACACCCCAATAGAACTGCAGCAACAACCGACCTTTTCGCAGAAAAGGAAACAAATTACTAAAAGTAATGCCCCCGAAGGACTGTTAAAGGCCAGAGCCCGCAGTTGGCAAACATTTACGGCCCTGGATTGGGATCAATTTGTGGTTTCGCCGCCAAATCCGCACTGGGCTCACAATTATCTACTAACGAATCTCAGCGTAACACGAAACGGGAATGTAATGTCAATCTAGATTCCGCAAGGCATATATCACCTATACACTAAGGTCTCAAACATCCCCCCTCCTCCAGATGAATGATGGTACACCAGTTCACCTCTCCAAACAAATGCATCACCGGCCTTCATGTTGACGGTTGTTGGTCCCTTCAACGGTGATTTTTTTTGCTTGTGAGACCCTTCGAAGAAAGCGAACCAGCCATTGTTTGGGCCGAGATCAGTGAGAGCAATAGTCGCATAAACCCGACCTTCTCCTGCTGTTTTAAGCTTTGTGGGATCGGCGTCTGTTTCATGAAATATTCCGATACTGATATAGTCGGGCGCCTTCGCAACAGATTTCTGAAGAAGTTCGGCAACCACGGTGATATTTTCAGCATTCTGAAAAACACTTAGCTAGAGTATGAGAATGAGAAGAATGGGAGGGCTTCCATGAAATACATTGATAAATTCCTCCTTTATCTGTAATGCAAGTGGTGGTTGGATATCGTATTGAGAATATTTCTCTCCTTTTAATCCAGGCGCTCTCAGAGGCAACTCCTGCTCAAGGAACTTGGCAAGCTGCCGCGCCAGATCCCCCGAAACTGCACTTTCTATAATTGAAAACCCTTCGGTAAAAGTCATATTTAAGTATGCTGCTAGGCCTTGGAATACATGACCTTTGTGTTCTTCTTGCAGATCTTCTGCTTTATACTTAGTTATATGAGGGGTAAGGTGTTTTCAGTCTACCCCTCCCATCATAACTACCCCTCCATAACATGACGACTAGCTCAGAGTTCAATATTACCTAAGCGCATTCAGTCCAACCAACGCATTAACTAGTTATTAGTTATTACCATATGTGACTTCACAAAAACGGCCGTGAACCCGGGATACCTTTAATAAGTAAAAAAAAAAAAAAATCTTTTGCGTCTAAAGAATTTGACTTCTCCAACTGGATGCCGAGTTGATTCGTTATGCATTGCGTCCGTGCTTGGCATTACTGCCCAACCGCTAAACTCAGTCGATCTTTGACATGCCAGCGATGCTGCGAAGGGAAATCGAATGTGAAGGCCACCCAGAGCGACATGGTAACCTCCTTTGAGTGTTAAATTGGGGATTATTTTCCTGGCGAGGAGATTGAATTATACGGGCTTCTTTGGCCCAGTTTATTTAGGACCAGCGTCGTGTAAAACCCTTCCCCTGAAAGGTTCGGTAAGACGCAGTTGATCAACGACAACGAGCAGATCATTCAACAGATTCCTACGTGTAATCTGCTTCATCAGAAGATCCAAGATTCGGAGAGACAGCTTTATTACTTGCTAGAACATCGGGTTTAGGGGACAAAAAAAATGCAAAAGAAAGCAAAACCAAATTGAGTGCTGCCAATCAACACTGAATCCGCAATTTTTTAAAAGAAAGAGAGCCAGGCTAAATACAAAGATCAAAAACACCATCAGATGTGGGAATGTGGAGCGGTTTCCAATTGCCAGTAAATGGGATCGAGCGGGGGAGAGTTGTTGCTGAGATTCCCGCAGTGGGCCGCCATTCGTGCCGATGTGACCAGTCGAACCACCCACCATAGTTGCATGCTGGTGGTTTGCTGATGATGACCCTGAGGTCTGAAAGCTGGTGGATGCGGCGGTCGATAAAGGAGTGATCAAGATAATGCCAGGGAATGTTTCCGTGCAATGATGTGTCGCTGGCCCAGGCAACCCTGATACCAGAAATGCAGTAGCAGCTTTTTATGGTGAAACAAAGCAAGTCAACTTCCTGTGGAAAGATATGCTGTTGCTCCCTCGATCCACAATCCATTCCCTTCACTGTCTGATAGTGAGTAATATTGGTAAGTTTAATGTAGTTAATCTGCAAGTGAGTGAAACACACAAGTAAGAGAAACAGTTTCTCACAAGATGATGCAACTTCCAACTTAATAAAAAATGTCAGTCATGAAAGAGAGCAATGATCTTCAAAATGAAGAAAGGATTCTTCTTGCTATTGAAGCACTTAATAAAGATCAGATTTCAAGTGTACAAATTGCAGCAAACTTGTACAACATCTCTTATACAACTCTGTTTCATCAGGTGAAGGGTTGTATAGCACACATTGATACTTCATCAAAAAACTGAAAATCCAGTATTACAGAAGAAGAATCTTTTATTCTGAATTCTATTCATTATATTCATCATATCACTGAGTGACATCAGTCACTCCAAATTATAATTGTATGAAATATAGTCAATTTGCTTTTATCTAAATTAAGAAATCAAGTTTAAATTTCTCCTTCAACAGTTAATGTTAAACTAGATGTTACGGCGCAGCTGCTTGTAATATGGATTAATGTTGATCCGATCCGATCCCCAACCACCTCTATATATTCGGTTGCTCGTTCATTCCACATTCTAATTCCCAGTTGAGTATTCTCGTCGCAGCTGCCTAGTTAAATAGATGAATTTGTTATCATCATGACTTTAGATGGAGCCATGACACTAGATATGAAATTCTATTAATTATTATGATGAGTTATCCCCTCGTCTGTCTTTTGTTGCACAATTTAGCGTGGTATCACTAGGCGTAAAATAAAGGCATTTGTCAGCATGTCTCAACCAAGGTTCACATACTATTTTGTATGGGCTGCTATTGGTCACTACCAATCCACACATTCATGATTTTCATGTAAATAGAAAATGTATTGAGAATTCAAACCTATCTACATGCCTACCATGAAGCTCTACTCACCTGCAAATATGAAGTATATAGAGAATTCAGATGATTTTCTAGAATTCCAATTTTAATCTATGCATCAAATAACTAATATATTCTCTAGAATCTATGAAAAAGTTTAATAGAATCTCTACAAAATAAAAATAAGCAATTGAGAAAATTATTCCAGAGATATCATCTATAGAGTAAGTTAAATATCTTTCTCTTGAACCTAGTTCACAGCTGTCAAATCTTCATATTTCATCAGATATTGATGTTCAAAGTATTTATATCTTATTTATCTTATTCTTCTCTAGAGATTTTATTCATAATATTATCACTTTATTTAATTTTTATGCAAAATTGAAGAAAGATGATAGAGATACTGATAATGAAGCTTCAAAGAGCTTTGAGAAAAATAAGAAGAAGAATAAAAAAGAGAAAATTTCTATAAAAACTTCTGCAGAATCCTCTATATTTATAAAAATATCTAAAAAATTAAAGATTTTTATTCAGTAATATCTATAGAAAAAGATTACTTTAGAGAAAATAATGATCTTTTTAAAAGCTTTTATCTATATGAGAATTCATAAATTCAGCTAAACTGATCATTATTGAAGAAATAATCTAAAAGAAGATTTTATTTATTCAGTTCAATTCTATATGATTTTGAAACATTTTGAGCAAATCAAATACTATTTTCATATATTCAATTCTTGAGAAGCTTATCAATCAGATTTTAAAAATAAAAATTAATAATATAAAATAAAATCTTTGATTTCTAACTTTCATAATATTTACTAGAAATATTACATCTATGATTCAGAGATTTTTATAGATATAATTATGATTAAATACTTTAATCAAAGTCAGCATATATATAAGATACCTGCAAAGTTAATTTCTCAGAGATATAAGATCTTTGAACTAGCAAAACATAAATATCTTTATATATTTTTCTAATTTAATCATCAATAAAGTATAATATCTATTTTTCAATTTTCAAAAATTATTAGAACTGAATTCATAATCATGAATATGATTCAGCAGCTTTTTAAGATCTTTATTATTAAATCTATTGAGGAATCAAATACTAAACCTTCTACTGAGAAATTAAATACTAGATCTTCTACTGAGACTTCTATCATTGAAGCTTCTATCATCAAAGCTCTTTCTATTAATGAAGCTTCTACTAGACCTTCTGCTGAAAAGTTAGCTAATTAATAAATTACTTCATACTCAATTTATATAGATAACTACTTTACCTCTATTCAATTATATTGATAACTATAATCATAATATAAATAGAGTTAATTTAGTAAATTAATATAAAACTTTCTATAGCTCTCATAGAGTGAGCTATTGAATCTGATTGTTTATTTTCTATTGAATTATAAATGCTGCTGTTGTCAACATGTAGAGGCTTTAGTATATATATATAAAGCAGTAGGAGGTCTTTAGACTTTTTACTCATATAAGCTTCTGTGAGAAGCTCTATCAGCAACTCTTTGAATTTAATTTGAAGGTTCATGATGATCTAGTTCATGAGTGATTAAATTTAAAGCTTATTTATCAATAAATTTCTCTACCAAAACCTATAATTTATGCCTGGTGTTGATATATATGAAAGCTAGGTCAGCAGGAGAATAGGCAAACTTCTAGATCAAGATCTGAATGCTCAGCATGTAAAAATGTGACTTTTTGCTTGAAAACTAGATGCTGAGAGAAATTTCATGACATTGTCAGAGCTGGAGATTCTATATAATCTAATTAGACTTAGTTTATTATAATACATTAATACCAAATAGTATACAATATTACACTATTTAGCCAATAATATCATGTATAATATACACTAATGAAATCGCGCTAATTGTGAAACAAAAGATGGATGAGAGGATAATTCAAAATCCTCTAAAGTATATTTATCAGCAACTTTAATGAGAAAATTCTGAGATCATTTGTGAGTAATTTAATTTTGTATAAAGTATAATCTTATCAGATGATATACACAACTTTGATAAGATTAAGTTTTTTATATATAGAAAATATTTAAATAATTAATTATTTTAATTTTATATGATTTAAAAATTGAAAGTAATTTATTTTTTATTATAAATATTATATTTAATAATTATTTTTAAAAAAATATATTAATATTAAACTAAAAATTATTATATAATTAAGTTTTTAAAATTAGTAAAAGTAATTAAATAAATAATAAATTGAAATTAATTTAATATAAAAAATATTTAAAAAAAATACTTAATTATATATAAAGTATAAATATTAACTTTAATTTTTAATAAATATAAAAGTTATATTTTAATTAAAATTAATCAATTTTATGATAAAAAATTATTATTTTATTTAAATATTATTTTATTTATTAATTTTTTATAATAAAATATAATATTTTTTATAAAAAAGTTTATTATTATTATTATTATTTTAAATATATAAAATTTAATAAAATAATATTTAAATTTAATTTTAAATATAATAATATTTTTTTTTATATTTAATTAAAAAATTTTTTTTCTAATTAAATTATAAAAATTATAATTATTTAAATTTATAAAATTATTAATTTTTTATTATAAAATTATTTTAATTTTATATTATATTTTATATATTAATTATTAATCTTTAATTATTATATATATTTTATAAAATTAAAAAAAATAATTTTTTTTATTATCTATATCTTTTTTTAAATATATATTATAAATATAATATAGATATTTTTATATAAATATTTTATTAAATTAAATATATATAATTATAATTTATATAATATATTTATTTAAATATTATATTATTTAGAATAAAATTATATAACTATATATTTTAATTTATATATATATATATTAAATTTATATAATAATTAAATTTTAATATAATTAAATAAATAATATACTTATTGATTATATATATATTAATTAAATAATAATAATAAATTAAGTATTTTTTATGAAATCACAATTTAAGAAAATATTTTTTATTGAATTAAAAATTCTTTTTTTACAAAAATCAGTTTTTAATTACTAAATTGAGAATTTAAAAACTTTAATTTTTGATATAATAAATTATTATAAAATGAGAAACATTATACATCTTAACAGTGACTCTGATGCTTGAAAATTGATCAGTTTTATAGACTTTCATTAGTAAGGGTTTTCCTTCTCAATTAGAAGAAGCCTCTCCGTGGTTGTAATACTGAATAAATTAATGATCGAGATGAAAGGTGCAACAACACTGATGACTAATCCTCATGGTTTGAGGCAATGGATTAGGGTGTGTTATGTTCGCCCCAACTAACTGCTTTCGGCCTATTGGGGCCTTCCAAAGTTGGAAACATCGCAAAAGAGTGATGCAGGAACAACTATTTGCCGACACCCGGCTCAGCCCCGAATTGTTCCTTTGAATATACGCAGGTAGTGACGAATGGACCTGCCTGCCTTGGTCATCCGCATAACCACAGGAGGGTTACTTGTAACCAACAGCTTTCCTTTGTCTATCCCCCCCCCCCCCCAACACTCTTCGTCCTTGTGCTTCTGGGCTCTGTCTCTATCCATCTCTTCCATTGCGATTGTCATTCTTGGGCGGTCAATTGCACCCTCCTATTTATCTTCGTTTACTCTCGAAAGATGGCTGCTTCCGTCATGTCGCGGTCTGCTTCTTGCCGCTCCTTGTTCTCCAGAAGCCCTTCCATCTGCATACGGGAATCAGGGCATATGTATCGGCTGCGTGATGCTTCCCGGTATGGTCAATGCTCACGAATACTGCTCTTGTAGTTGATGTTTATGCTAATTCTTGTTGTTCATCGGGGTAGACGGAAGTTGCCAGCATTGGCAGCCCTTGCCCGATTCTATGCCTCCAAATGCAAGTAGCAAACCGGACTGGTTAATAAAAGGCTCTATACCCACTTTCTTTTGATTGGAGCATATTCAATTGGCCTTCTGTTACTGTTACTGACTTCTGATGTGTTCATATCTACCCTAGCTTATCCTCCACATACAATAATTAGCATGCCCGCGCTCTCCCCAACAATGACTGCCGGCAACATCGGGGCTTGGCAGAAAAAAGTCGGGGATGCCCTTGCTCCCGGTGATGTTCTGGTGGAGATCGAAACAGACAAAGCTCAGATGGATTTCGAATTCCAGGAAGGAGGAGTCTTGGCAAGGATTTTGAGGGAGGCTGGTGAGAAGGATATCGCTGTAGGAAATGTAAGCTAAATTGCCAAGGTTGCGACACGCAAGACGGCCATATGGAAGCGGTTGATTGTCGTATGCTAAATGTTTTTTCCACAGCCAATTGCAGTCATGGTGGAAGAAGGCACAGATATCACACCATTCGAGTCGTTCTCATTGGAGGATGCTGGTGGTGAGAAGTCCTCCGCTCTGAAGGAGCCAGAGCAGCCCAAGAAGGAGCTCAAAGTTGCTCCAGCTGCACCAAAGGAGGAATCGACCCCAGCAGCTGAGGAGGAGCCTGTATCAACGGGAGAGAGATTACAACCTAGCCTGGACAGAGAGTCATTTATTGCCCCCGCAGTAAAAGCTCTAGCCTTAGAACGGGGTGTGCCCTTGAAAGACATCAAGGGAACAGGTCCTGGTGGGCGGGTTACTAAGAACGATGTTGAGAAGTACCAACCCGCCGGTACGGCTGTCAGTGCATCTGGTCCAGCCTTCGAGGATATTCCCGCATCTTCCATGCGTAAGATCATTGCCAACCGTCTAGTGCAATCCATGCGAGAAAATCCCCACTACTTCGTGACTTCGAACCTCTCCGTCACTAAACTGCTGAAGCTGCGCGAGGCTCTCAATAACTCCGCTGACGGAAAATATAAGCTTTCTGTAAATGACTTCCTCGTCAAAGCCTGCGCGGCTGCTCTGCTTAAGGTGCCAGCCGTAAACTCGAGCTGGGTTGAGGAGAACGGACAGGTCGTCATCCGCCAACACAAGACAGCGGATATCAGCGTCGCCGTCGCCACATCCGTCGGCCTCATCACGCCCATTGTACGAAACGCGCACACCCTCGGTCTCTCCAGCATCTCCAGCCAGGTCAAAGACCTTGGCAAGCGCGCACGCGAGAACAAATTGAAACCGGAGGAATACATTGGCGGAACCTTCACCATCAGCAACATGGGCATGAACCATGCCGTGGAGCGATTTACCGCAGTCATCAATCCTCCTCAATCCGCCATTTTAGCCGTTGGCACGACGCAGAAAGTCGCTATCCCCGTGGAGGGTGAAGATGGCACTTCTGTCAAATGGGATGACCAGATTGTCGTGACGGCCAGTTTCGACCACAAAATCGTTGACGGAGCAGTTGGCGCTGAGTGGATGAGGGAGTTGAAGCAGATAGTTGAGAACCCTCTCGAGCTTCTCCTTTAAAACCACTAGGGAAATGCCTTAATGCTCTTTTACTTCTTGTTATTCTTCTTTAATTTAGAATTTGGCTAGCAATCGAACTCAGTTAAAGCCTTTATGAAGGCCAAGAAAGGGATGCGGACCCATGTCATGTTTTTAAGTTCCCCCATTCTTCCCTCTTTCACTCCCATATCCCTCCTATTTCACTCCCCAGAGCGAATCACTGACCGGACAATTTCAATCCTAACATGTATTAAAATGCATTCTTGACCATCCTTCTTCATCCGCTTTAATTTTGCTTTTTTTGCTATTTCATTCGTGAGAGTTTCTTTTCGTTTGTTGTGTTCTCTTGACTTAAGCTTTTTGTTCGATCATTAAATCTACAGTGAGCTTCCGGGAACGATTTCACCCACAACATGTCCCAGGTTATATGTACTGTAACCCACAACACATTTCCTTGCCGGTCAACATAAGTTTTGTGATGCCATACAGGTAAATCCATGAAATCGAAATACCATCCCGTATGGTTACCATTCTGCAACACCGCAACTATCTCCTATCCAAACCCACGATCGCTGATCCTGCAGAGAACCACTCCGAAACTTTGGAATGAGTGGCCGCACCGCATCGACAGATAATGTTCCAAGATTGCCTCCTAAAGTCTATGTGCATCCAATCCTCAATTGATCGTGGTTTTAGGAACCGTGTTCCCGTGTATCACTCGTATTCTCATCATACTTCGACAAAGAAACCCCTCATCTAAACTATATCCGCTCTGGACAGAGAACTTTATTCCTCACACCCCAACACACCTTATCGTCATTGGCGGCAGAGCAGGTATAGGCAGACTATGGAGCCATGGAGACTCCAGGTCTACGTATTACTCCCCCATTGAGAGATGACCGGTACGGCTTCAAAAATCTCCGCAACTTGGGATTATCCCGCAATCTCCACAGAAAGTTACCACACAATTCCTCCTCCTCCACAAACGTCATGCCTTAAGGGTGTAAAGGGGTCTGATACGACCACACGCCACTGAGCCAAGATCGGGAAGTAGGGAAAGAGGGATTAAAATAAGCAAAATGTAACATAGCTTTCTTGAATTTTGCGCTTTTATTCCACGTTGACCACCGTACAAGCCTCAATGATTAAGTTAAGGTTGAGCCATGATGAGGTTTAACTTACCCCACTCCCGGTTTAGAGAGAAAAGTGGAGCAATTACCAAATTAGGCAACCATTTAGATTTTAACTAGTTAACTAACTACTTAGACGAGCGCTTAACTAGACCCACTTAACTTTGTTATACGAAACTTTAAGTTGCAACGTGCTTAAATCATAGCTTTTTGAACAAGCGATTAGTTATGTATATTCATTCCATTATCTTATTTAAGCATAATAATAGCCTTTTGGAGATGTAACCAAAAATTTACTCAAAAAGTTCTGCTTAACAATGAAATGATGTCTTTTGGATGGATAGTAGATGGTGGAGTCCAAGGATCCTCTCCGTTTTGTGGGGAGCCCAAAGGATTCAACATCTATATATATATATATATATATATATCAGGTGTATATACTCAAATCTATACGAATAGAACACTGGGGATGTGAGCGATGTAACCAAAACCCCTTCTATAGAATGCGCATCTCGTGTGGCAAAGCGAGTCTATTTTACAACGCTGGACTTTATATAAGGAGACAGTGCTCTAGTTAGGCAAGTTCGTTTAGAAGATTCAACTGTGCTACCGAGGACATTTGAAACCAGCCCTTCAACGCGCTTATCAAGATGAAGCTCGTACTTGTACTTGTACTATCAGTCATTGCCGGTGCCATGGGCGCTACCATTGGGGATAAACCTCCCGAGGAGCTAGTCTGGGCTATCTGTGGTCTTCCTGAAGGAGTATGTGATATATATAAATCAACCCCAATCGCCCTGAAATTAAAGCACCTTTTTATCATGGATAACTAACACAATATTCTCTCTAAAGTGTAACGATGATGTCGACTGCACCTTTCTCATGGAATGTAAAGATATTGCATATGTGAGTTGTTCCTGAAGTTTTCCCTTTCCTTTTAACTGCTTGTAAATAAATATAAGAGAGAGGCAAATGGCTAATTTGAAATTTGAAATAACCATATAAAACAGAGACACGATCGGCGCTTGATTCACTGCGGGGTTGATATCTTCCAGCCTCACACCTGCTGGGCTTGGACGGAAGGGCAGCCTCATTAAGGTTGCAAATGTCCAGACAACGACGAATGCGCTGCAGTGATGTACAGACTATGTGAACGGAGTCGGATACCCTGATGTCCCACCATTCAGCTGTGGTTCGATGGTTGTTTTGCTCTATACCAAATGGTTATGTATAAGCTCAAAAAAAAGATTGTTTTTAATAAAGATTCATTTTAATAAATACCTAGTTAGTTATGTGCGTTCGGTTTGTCAGCCTCAAAATCTCAACGATAGAATGATATAACTTCCCAGGTGCCTTGCGTGGATTTTCTCGCTGGTTCAGGAAGTATGTAGTGTACAGCAGTGAAGGATACAGAAGTAGGGATGTAGGACCCTTCGAGCACGTGACCTGCTTTCCAACCAATAACTCGTAGCGTGCAAACTCTGCAAGCAATTAAGCTTGCCACTCTGTCAGAAGAAGATGGACGTTTCTTGTGGTTACCCGGTTTGGTGTAATTTTTATTGCTTTCTAACTGTGGAGGATCCAGGAAAAACAAAATTCGCGGAGGGAGGATTTCCAACATCCATATCTACGGCGAACTAATTAAAAAGCTTTTTATAGTAATATATTAATCGTGCCGCTGCGCAACCCACACCTCATGTGGGTGTGCCACATCAAAACAATAAAAACATCAAAATGATAAAAATCTTGCAATTTCATCATCTTCATCATCTTCATCGATTAATAACTCACCACAATGTCAAATAAGGATAAAAATATTGAAGACTGTATTCAAAAAGCTATCACTTATCACTGAAAAAACTCAAATTTCAAAAATATTGTTTCTGTCATAAGAATTTGAGGTTTCTTATCAACATCTTCAAGCATGTATCAATGAAAGAAATCTGAATACTGCAAAGGATTCAGTTAACAAGAGATTAAATGAGAGTCAGAAGAACATGATTAAATAATAAATCAAACTACTTGATGAAAAGAATTATTCTCTCATAGCTAAACACATTGAAGATTTTACAAATTTAATACTTAAATATCAGCATATAGATTCTATTATCTTCTCTTCAAAAGTCAACAAGATGTGAACTTATAGATTCATTGAACATTTATTTGATTATAATAGAGTGAAACAGAAATTGATGAATTCAAAGAAAATAGCAGTTAAAGATATTAAATATATTAATATATGATTTGAATATCTTTAGATTCTATTTAAGTAGTATCAATTTCACATCTGTGACATATACAACTTCAATAAGATTGAATTTCAAGAAGAATAAGAATGTGAAGAATGAGTTATAACTGCATTAAAGAAGTTAATTTTATCATTTTTTTATTTTTTTCAAGAGATTTGATTATAATTATTGAATATATATTCATAAATAATCATATTATTTCATTATTAATAATCTTGATCTTCAAAATATATTTAAAAAATTGATATATACAGATAGATTTATTCAGCAATTATAGAGTTACTATATCAAATATTGAAATTACAAAAAATAAATTTAAATTTAAATAACTTAAACATTTTAATACTATTATAAAAAAAAGATAAAAGAGAAGTTATTAATTACTTTTAATAAATAATTATGAATCTTATATTACTGAGAAGTTCATACAATTTGCAGATCTTCATAAGATAATTCTATATGAATTTTTATTACATATTATTTATTGCTATAATCTCTGAATAGTTTATCATTTCAATAATATAAGTATTATCATTCAAAAGCAGTCAAGTACACTATATGTTATAATTTTATTAAGTATGAAAAATAGTAGTTCCTACAAGACTTATTAGCTATGCAAAAGTAGATTTTTAAATCTAATATAATAGCTGCAGAATAAATTTAATATGATATATATTCATGAAATTCTAACTAAGTTCTTAACATTATTAAGTAGTAAATCTTATTATTTTTTTCACTGCAGATTTATAAAGATAAAAATAATTCAGATTATATATCTATCTCTTCTTCTTAGCTATTCTCATTAAAGATAATTCAAAAGCTGAAATATTATATTAATATTACAGAAAATACTATGCAAATATAAGGGGTTGAACCTCTAGATTTGCTCTGGCTGGCTGACTCAGCCTAACCATCATTTGCATGTGCGCATGTGATCATGCTACGCGAGCTTGCTTAAGCTTGAGTTCTCATCTCATTCTTTTCTTCCCTTTCTCAAGCAATTCGTCCTTGTTATATAGGAGGACTAGTCTCTAGTTCTTAGAGCTTAACCCTTTACATTATGAATTGCTTCACTCCTTTCATTGATAGGCCACTGGGAGCCTTAATCCTGTATTATGAAACTTAGCAAATATGCTGACATATGATAGACTATTAAGAGTCTTAAATCCTGCATCATGAAGTTCAGTGATAGCACTGGTATATAAATAGACTGGGTTAGCAATCATGCTAACAAATGAATGAGCAACATTGAAAATATCTAGTCAAATGAGATAAAGCAGCAGACTTGTACAATAAATACAAAAATGAATCAACACAAAGCAATAAGCAGGGATGCTCTCAGCAGCTTTGAACAACAATAGATGACCTTTCTTCAACAGCAGAAACAGGTCCAGTATGAGAACAGAGATTTAATAACAGCTCAGCAAGCTGAAATAGCTAATCTACAACAAGCTTTGAACATCTCAACATCAATCCTCTCTCAATTGAATCTGTAACCACTCATTGCAGTCAGAAGACCAAAGATCAAGCTACTAGACTGTGAGAAGTATGATGGTTCTAATCTGAAGCACTACTCTCAGTGAGAGCTAAAGCTTTAATCAAAACTTAAGATTAATGGGAAAGCCTTAGGTAATAATGAGAAATGTGCTTGGTATGTGTACTTGAGACTGAAAGGAATGGCAGCAGCTCAAGTTTACTCCTGAGTTGAGAATAATAAGAACAAGATCAATTTCACAGTAGAGAGCTTACTGAAGCAGACACACATGCTCTTTAGTGATTCTGCACAACAGGAAAAGGCTATGCAAAAGCTCAACAATCTATGACAAAGTAGAAGAGCTCTCTTTGACTTTCTGCCTGAATTTAATCAGCTACTGCTGGAAGCTGGTGATCACAGATGAGATGATCACATTAAAAAGAAGTATTTGAAATCCACTCTAAGCATGGAGCTGAAGGAAGGCATGGTGGGTATAAGGGAACCATCTCTCTATGAGAATTACTGCAAAGAGCTTAGATTAGTTGATCATCAACTCTCTGAGCTTAAGACTTTAAGACAGTGATCTAAACATTGTGAGAACAGATCTTCTTCAGATCATACAACATCTAATTCACACTCTTTACTTCATCATATTGTTTTTGACTGATAAAACCAGTCTCAAGCTTCTGCTGATGATCTGATGAATCTCTCTCCTGGTGCTGTGACCTCAAGCACTCACCACATCAAATTGATAGATCAGACAGAGGTTAATCAATGAAGAGAGCAAGGCCTGTACCTGAGATGTAGAGCTGAAGGTCATATGATTAAGAGCTGCTCATTCAAATCTCTCAGACACTCTGTCATTCTCACAATAGCTAAAGTGATCCCCAAGCTGGTACTAGATGACAATAATGTGGATATGAGTGAGGATTTGAGAAAAGAGTAGCTCCAACCAAAAGACACTGAAAGGAGTAAAATAAGAAGCTTATGAGAAAGCAATAGAGAAGATTTAAATCTAAGATGATATTCAAACCCTTCACTGTTGATGCTCTAGTAGATAATACCTTTTTGACTAGAACAATGATAGATAGTGAATGTAATGTCTATGATCTTATTTCTCAATTTTACATTAACAAGCATAAGCTCCTGTGCATTGAAATTCCTCCTGTTAAAATGACTGGCTTTGAAGACTCCATAGAACTCTCCACAAGCATAGTGACTGGCATTCAAATTGATATAGGCAGTCACATAACTGAATGAGCCTTTCTCTACATGGTGAATAGATTATATGGTCATGATATGTATCTAAATGACCCCTGGCTGGCCCAGCAAAAGGTGACCGTGATCCCTTATCAAAGAATTGTGAGATTTGAAGAGAGTGGTATAGAGGTAGAGCCTAGTTCAAATGCAAAAGCTGATGTGATTTCCATCTCTGCTGTAAGCTTCTCTAAGCTTGCAAGCACTTGAGAGAAGTGAAACATCAAGATCTTCACTGTCAGTTTGACTGACATTCAAAAGACTCTAGAAGTGAAATCAAAGATTGACCTTAGAGAAAAGTTGTCTGAACATTATCATGAGTTTTTGAATGTATTTGATAAGGAAGCCACTGATGCTCTACCCCCACTTCATGACCCAGGTAGAGATCATGAGATTGAACTAATTAAAAAGGCTGATAGTAGTACAGAACAACCCTCTTGGAGCCTGTTATATAATATATCTCAAGAGGAACTACTGGCTTTGTGAAAGACTCTTACAGATTATCTAGATAAGAGTTTTATTAAAGTGAGCAACTTCTCTGTAGCTGCTCCTGTACTATTTGTGAAGAAGCCTGAAGGTGGGCTAAGATTCTGTGTAGACTATTGAGCTCTTAACAAAATTATCTGAAAGGATTGATATCCTCTATCATTAATCAGTGAGACTTTACAGTGAATTGGATAGGCTAAATGATTCACTAAGCTGGACATTATTGCAGCTTTTCACAAGATTCAAATCATGGAAGGTGATGAGTGGATGATAGCCTTTAGAACCAGATACAGGCTATTTGAGTGGCTGATTACACTCTTTAGTTTGGCCAATGCTCTGAGCACATTTCAAAAATATATCAACTGGGCATTACATGAATATCTGGATAACTTCTACTCAGTCTATTTAGATGACATCTTGATATTTTTCTTAAGAAGCTTATAGAAGCATTGTGAACATGTACAAAAGATGCTTATGTATCTACAGGAAGCAGGCCTGCAGGCAGATATCAGAAAGAGTGAGTTCAAGATGAATAGCACAAAATATCTTGAATTCATCATTGAAGTAGACAAGGGTATATAATTAGATTCAGAGAAGATTAAAGCTGTTTTGGAATGAGCAACACCTACTA